CCGAACAACCGGAGATGACATGCCTAAGTGACTCACCGGGATGGCGACAAGCTCGACAGATGTCCACGGTGCCATCCTTTAGGATGTATCTCCGATAGTTGTTGGTCTTAATAACCTGATCCTGTATTGCACAGACAAAACCCTCGGTTTCCCCGAAGAGATCACCAAAGCGTAGCCAGTGGAGGGAGGCTACTGTGTCTACGAAAGGCTCATGTAGAGCCTTGTAGAACCTCCCGCTCCTTCTCCTTCCATACGTTCTCCCGGTCGGAAATTGTCTGCACTGCCGGGTCTTGCCATTGCTCGTTGGCTAAGGATAGAGGGGTAAGTCCTTTATCACTAGAAATGACGTCCTTATAGAATGGATCATCCGATCTCGCCAGGAGGTAATTACGGAGGCTGCACACTTCACGATTATGCATGGTGAGCGCGCTCAGGAAGCCACGCCCACCGTGCTTTCGCGGCAAGTACAGCCTCATTACCGACGATCTCGGATGATGCATCCTATGGGACGTCATGGTAGTGCGGACTTTTCTATCCAGGACGTTAAGTTCAGTCTGAGTCCACCTGAGTATGCCAAAGGTATACATGAGGACAGGCATGACCCAGCCGTTATATGCGTGTGTCTTATTCACACCGGACAAAAGGCTGTTAAGCACTTTGGTCAAGCGTGCATAAAACACGTCGCAAACTGACTGTTTCATACCAGCCTCATCGATACCGATGTTCTGTGACATACCCAGGTATCGGTATGTTTCAGCCTCGGAAAGGGTCCTTAAGTTGACGGGCATAGATAAGTCTATGCCCTCAGAGTTAGCAACCCTCCCCCTTTCAACATGGAGGACCGCACACTTATCCGTTCCCAGCTCCATTCCAATAGAATTGCTAAATTCACAAGTGATGTTTAGCAATTCCATAAGATGGGAGCGACTAGAGGCGAATAACTTGAGGTCATCCATATAGAAAAGGTGGGTCACTTTTGTACCTCCTTTCCGAAGCTGAAATCCCCTCCCAGAGCCCTCCAGTAAAGTACTGAGAGGGTTCATGGAGAGCCAGAACCAGATTGGACTCAGACAATCGCCCTGGAAGATACCCCTTCTTATCCTTATGTGGTTCTCCGCAGCCATCATCCGCTCGCCCAGATAGCAAAGGATCGTACTCCATTGCCCCATACACTGCTCAAGGAAGTCTCCAACTGTACAGTCAATTTTTTACAGCTGGAGGACTCTCTTTAGCCATGTATGGGGCACCTACTCGAATGCCTTTCTGTAGTCTATCCAGGCGGCGGAGAAATTCCGACGGTTGCGTTTCACCACTTTGCCAATAACCGCGTCAATGAGGAGTGTTTCCTTGGTTCCACGACCACCGCCCGGCCGATCCATTTTGAGCGCGTGACATCACCTGATTTAGCTCCAGGTGACGAGTGATTCTCGCGCTCAAAATGGATGTCAGTGTCTTATATATGGTGGGTAGACACGTGATTGGCCGGTATTTGCTCGGGTCTGTGGTATCCTGATCTTTAGGAACCAAATGAGTGATCCCAGTAGTGAAGAGGCTCGGGAGCGACTTCTGATCGAGAGCCTCTTGAAACTGTCGGGCGAGCACAGCGTGACACACTACGAACCCCTTCAGCCAGTAATGATGCAGCACGTCGAGCCCCGGACTTTTCCAGTTCGGGGCCCTACGGACCGCCTCAGCCACGTCTTCAGGCGTTATGGTGACGGGGTCCATAGGCGTAACACTTGCACTCTGGCTCGCCACAACTTCCATCCAAGGGCCCTCGCTGTGGTTTACGGGCTCTGACCACAGGCCACGCCAAAATGCGACAGTGTCAGCCTGATCCGGTCCTGGGCCCGCTCCACCTACCTCTCTCCAATGATTTATAGAGCCTCTTCTGATTACTCTGGAAGAGACGATTCTGGTTGAAACGCCTTGATCTCTCGCTAAATCGTCGAATCCGCTTCCCCCCAAGCAGCGATTTTTTGCTTCAGGTCATCTATGCGCTCCGTTAGTTTTTGCGTGATATCCGGTTGGAACAAACTGATATTTGTCCCAGCAAACGCCATCCTAACGGTGCGCATAATCCTCGGTCTATTATTACCCGACATGAAGCTTGTCAGTCTGCCGATAAGGGCCCTTGCCTTTGCGATACGGTCCTCAATTCTTTTTCTCCAGGCTGGGATGGCGCTACTTTTTTGAGTAGCACGTCCAGCCACGGGAAGTTTGGCGCCAATAATACGGCATACTGCCAGTGCGGCGCCAAAAAGAATTGAATCCGTCTCGCAAAGGTCCCGGCTGGTTTCCAAATAGGTCACCAGCATTGGGTTAAGAGCCCGCACGACAGCCCGATTTCGCTTGCTAAGGGGTATGCGGGGAAGTATTATTATTATGTGTGGGGTATCTATATAGTTTTCTCATCTGGTTGGGATGTATAAATATATAATTATAAACGAAAATGAAAAGACAAATATACAAAAATATCAATAAAATAAAATAAATACGAAAATACATAAATAAATAAAAGCCCAACCAGATGGAAGCCCTCGGCAGGGGAGACCAAACGGCCGAGGGTTAGGGGGAAAGGGAAAGAAACCGGCGGACGATGCGGGCGGTATCGAGGAGCACCGCCTTCTGCATTTGAGCCTGGAGCGGTCCGCCACGTAGTCCCAGCCGCCTCAGATGACCCGAGAGGCTGACTGGGATTAGCCCGTTTGCAGAGACGACTACAGGAATAATTTCGGTCGGCAGACCACCCCACATGTCGGTCACCTCGTGAGCCAGGTCCAGATATTTTGTTTGCTTATCTGTTTCGGCTTTCACGAGGTTCTCGTCACACGGAATGGTAATGTCGACCAAAAATATCCTTGACTGTGCCCGGTCCATCAGCACAATATCAGGCTTATTCGCAAGAATAGTCCTGTCTGTGATGATGGCCCGGTCCCAATAGAGCCTGGCGCGATCATTTTCGAGCACGGCTTCCAGCAAGTACTTGTAATACGGCAACTTCCGATCCACGAAACCGTATTTCAGAGCGAGCTCCTGGTGTAGAATTCTGGCTACTAGGTTGTGCCTGTGCAAGTACTCAGAGTTAGAAAGCGCCGAACAACCGGAGATGACATGCCTAAGTGACTCACCGGGATGGCGACAAGCTCGACAGATGTCGATGGTGCCATCCTTTAGGATGTATCTCCGATAGTTGTTGGTCTTAATAACCTGATCCTGTATTGCACAGACAAAACCCTCGGTTTCCCCCGAAGAGGTCACCAAAGCGTAGCCAGTGGAGAGAGGTTACTGTGTCTACGAAAGGCCCATGTAGAGACTTGTAGAACCTCCCGTGGAGCTCCTTCTCCTTCCATACGGTCTCCCGGTCGGAAATTGTCTGCACTGCCGGGTCTTGCCATTGCTCGTTGGCTAAGGATAGAGGGGTAAGTCCTTTATCACAAGAAATGACGTCCTTATAGAATGGATCATCCGATCTCGCCAGGAAGTAATTACGGAGGCTGCACACTTCGCGATTATGCATGGTGAGCGCGCTCAAGAAGCCACGCCCACCATGCTTTCGCGGCAAGTACAGCCTCATTACCGACGATCTCGGATGATGCATCCTGTGGGACGTCATGGTAGTGCGGACTTTTCTATCCAGGGCGTTAAGTTCAGTCTGAGTCCACCTGAGTATGCCAAAGGTATACATGAGGACAGGCATGACCCAGCCGTTATATGCTTGTGTCTTATTCACACCGGACAAAAGGCTGTTAAGCACTTTGGTCAAGCGTGCATAAAACACGTCGCAAACTGACTGTTTCATACCAGCCTCATCGATACCAATGTTCTGTGACATACCCAGGTATCGGTATGTTTCAGCCTCGGAAAGGGTCCTTAAGTTGACGGGCATAGATAAGTCTATGCCCTCAGAGTTAGCAACCCTACCCCTCTCAACATGGAGGACCGCACACTTATCCGTCCCCAGCTCCATTCCAATGGAATTGCTAAATTCACAAGTGATGTTTAGCAGTTCTATAAGATGGGAGCGACTGGAGGCGAATAACTTGAGGTCATCCATATAGAAAAGGTGGGTCACTTTTGTCCCTCCTTTTCGTAGCTGAAATCCCCCTCCCGGAGCCCTCCAGTAAGGTACTGAGAGGGTTCAGAGAGAGGCAGAACCATTTTGGACTCAGACAATCGCCCTGGAAGATACCCCTTCTTATCCTTATGTGGTTCTCCGCAGCCATCATCCGCTCGCCCAGATGACAAAGGATCGTACTCCACTGCCCCATACACTGCTCGAGGAAGTCTCTAACTGTACAGTCTATCTTGTACAGTTCGAGGACTCTCTTTAGCCATGTATGGGGCACCGAGTCGAATGCCTTTCTGTAGTCTATCCAGGCGGCGGAGAAGTTCCGACGGTTGCGTTTCACCACTTTGCCAATGACCGCGTCAATGAGGAGTGGTTCCTTGGTTCCACGACCGCCGCCCGACATCCATTTTGAGCGCGCGACATCACCTGATTTGAGTCCAGGTGACGAGCGATTCTCGCGCTCAAAATGGATGTTAGTGTCTTATATATGGTCGGTAGACATGTGATGGGGCGGTATTTGCTCGGGTCTGTGGTACTCTGGCCTTTAGGAACCAAATGAGTGATCCCAGTAGTGAAGAGGCTCGGGAGCGACTTCTGGTTGAGAACCTCTTGAAACTGTCGGGCGAGCACAGTGTGACACACCACGAACCCCTTCAGCCAGTAGTGATGCAGCCCGTCGAGTCCCGGACTTTTCCAGTTCGGGGCCCTACGGACCGCCTCAGCTACGTCATCCGGCGTTATGGTGACGGGGTCCATGGGCGTAATACCCGCACACTGACTCGCCACAACTTCCGTCCAAGGGCCCTCGTTGTGGTTTACGGGCTCTGACCACAGGCTGCGCCAGAACGCGACCGTGTCGGCCTGATTCGGTACTGGGCCCGTTCCACTTACCATTGGTCGCTCCAATGATTTATAGAGCCTCTTCTGATCACTCTGGAGGAGACGATTCTGGTTGAACCGTGTCGACCTCTCGGTATATCGCCGAATTCGCTTTCCCCAAGCAGCGATTCTCTGCTTCAGGTCGTCTATGCGCTCCGTCAGTTTTTGCATTAAGCAGCCGGATAGGCTGGGACAAACTAACATTTGTCCCAGCAAACGCTATCCTGACGGTGCGCACAATCCTTGGCCTGGTATTGCCTGACCTGAAGCATATCAGTCTGCCGATGAGGGCCCTAGTCTTTGCGATACGTTCTTCAATTCTTGTTCTCCAGGCTGGGATAGCACTACTTTGTCCAGTAGTGCGTCCAGCCGTGGAAAGTTTGGCGCCTATAATACGGCAGACTGCCAGTGCGGCGCCAAAGAGAATTGAGTCCGTCTCGCAAAGGTCCCGGCTGGCTTCCAAATAGGTCACCAGCATTGGGTTCAGAGCCCTCACGACAGCCCGATTCCGCTTGCTTAGGGCTATGCGGGGAAGTCGCGGTCGATTTTCGAGAGGCGTACTGCGCGTTTCCATAATCGTCTCTTCCAATGTACTCCTCATTTGCTCTATTTCTAGTTCCTGGGTGAATGTTCCTTTATCATTTGAATCAGCAACCACTGGGGTATTCTCGGCGGCATCCATGTGTGCGGGTTGTTCTGCAACTTGTGGCACCGCACCCTCAGTCGTAGCGTTTTCATTTGATGAGGGAACAGCCTCACGTCGTAGCCGTTCGAGTTCGGCGCCATCAAATATATTTGAGCGTAAGATATACCGAACTAGGTCTGCCAGGTTTTGCTCGGTGACAGTAATAGATGGCTCCAGCTCAGTAAAAAAGACGATGCATCCTAGCCCGATACGCGAAACCTCCAATTTCTCCCCCTTTCGCCCTAAAATACGCCCGCAATGCGTTTGAATTCATATTGATGGTCCATCGCATGCGGCGTACTCCACCAGTGGCGGGTGCCGATTGCTGGGCCTGCGAAGACCCTGCCGACACCAAGCAAGCTGGTGGGGATGATGGATGCGAGGGGCTGCTGGGTGGTCGTGCAGTACCTCGCGCTCGGCTGGCGGTTCGCATGCTGTCGCGTCCAGCGCCAGCTCCAGACGCGCCCTGACGACCTCCAGGCAGCGGCCCTTTGCGCAATCTTCTATGTTCCATCATCCATACAGGGCGTCATTTAACGGGAGACGCCCAGACCCGGCGCCGTTTCATGGTGAGGCCATATGCACAAGCGGGCCCTTGCACCATCAATTTTTGCCGAGGCACGGCGCTCACACCTCTTGGCAAGGTGCTGACTGACTGCGCGGACGTAGCGGTTTTGTCACATAACCGTCACGTCAACGGGCGATGGGGTCGTCACTTCCCTACGCCCTATTATTATTATTATTATATTAATTTTATTTCTTTTTATTTCTCCCTCTGTATTGAGGGGTAGAAAACGGACACACGGGCCTTGACCAAGTGTGCACGCAGGAAAAAAAAGAAAGAATTACAGTGATGACGGTGATGAGTTAAGAAATTTACGTGTGAGACGACAGGTGTTAAGAAGGACTGCTTTTTGTATAAGTGTAAGAGTGGATTTAGGCATTTGAAGCATGTTGAGGCTGGTTTGAAGGGTCTTTGGAACTACACCAGTTGTAGATATGATGATGGGAATGATTTTTACGGAGTCTACTTGCCATTGCCTTTTTATTTCGATAGCCAGGTCAACATACTTTGTCATTTTTTCCGAATGTGTAGTAATGAGGTTGTGTGTGTTGCAAACTGCTATGTCTATTATAAAAACAGATTTTTTTAATTTTGTCTAGTATTGTTATGTCCGGTCTATTGTAATGTATAGTCTTGTCTGTTATAATTGTTCTGTCCCAATATATTTTGACGGAATCACTTTCTAAAATAGTGCTGGGAATATATTTATAATAAGCGACCTTTTTTATTTTTATTATTATTATTATTATTATGTGGGGTATCTATATAGTTTTCTCATCTGGTTGGGATGTATAAATATATAATTATAAATGAAAATGAAAAGATAAATATACATAAATATTAATAAAATAAAATAAATACAAAAATACATAAATAAATAAAAGCCCAACCAGATGGAAGCCCTCGGCAGAGGAGACCAAACGGCCGAGGGTTAGGGGGAAAGGGAAAGAAACCGGCGGACGATGCGGGCAGTATCAAGGAGCACCGCCTTCTGCATTTGAGCCCGGAGCGGTCCGTCACGGAGTCCCAGTCGCCTCAGATGACCAGAGAGGCTAACTGGGATTAGCCCATTCGCAGAGACGACTACAGGAATAATTTCGGTCGGCATACCACCCCACATGTCGGTCACCTCGTGAGCCAGGTCCAGATACTTTGATTGCTTATCTGTTTCGGCTTTCACGAGGTTCTCGTCATACGGGATGGTAATATCGACCAAAAATATTCTTGACTGTGCCCGGTCCATCAGCACAATATCAGGTTTATTCGCAAGAATAGTCCTGTCTGTGATGATAGCCCGGTCCCAGTAGAGCCTGGCGCGGTCATTTTCGAGCACGGCTTCCGGCAAGTACTTGTAATACGGCACTTTCCGGTCCACGAGACCGTATTTCAGAGCGAGCTCCTGGTGTAGAATTCTGGCTACTAGGTTGTGCCTGTGCAAGTACTCAGAGTTAGAAAGCGCCGAACAACCGGAGATGACATGCCTAAGTGACTCCCCGGGATGGCGACAAGCTCGACAGACGTCGACGGTGCCATCCTTTAGGATGTATCTCCGATAGTTGTTGGTCTTAATAACCTGATCCTGTATTGCACAGACAAAACCCTCGGTTTCCCCGAAGAGGTCACCGAAACGTAGCCAGTTGAGGGAGGCGACTGTATCTACGAAGGGCTCATGTAGAGCCTTGTAGTACCTCCCGTGGAGCTCCTTCTCCTTCCATACGGTCTCCCGGTCGGGAATGCTAAGCACTGCCGGGTCCTGCCATTGCTCGTTGGCTAAGGATAGAGGGGTAAGCCCTTTATCACTAGAAATGACGTCATTATAGAATGGATCATCCGATCTCGTCAAGAAGTATTGACGGAGACTGCACACTTCGCGATTATGCATGGTGAGCGCGCTCAGAAAGCCACGCCCACCATGCTTTCGCGGCAAGTACAGCCTCATTACCGACGATCTCGGATGATGCATCCTATGGGACGTCATGGTAGTGCGGACTTTTCTATCCAGGGCGTTAAGCTCAGTCTGAGTCCACCTGAGTATGCCAAAGGTATACATGAGGACAGGCATGACCTAACCGTTATATGCGTGTGACTTATTCACACCGGACAAAAGGCTGTTAAGCACTTTGGTCAAGCGTGCATAAAACACGTCGCAAACTGACTGTTTCATACCAGCCTCATCGATACCGATGTTCTGTGACATACCCAGGTATCGGTATGTTTCAGCCTCGGAAAGGGTCCTTAGTTGACGGGCATAGACAAGTCTATGCCCTCAGAGTTAGCAACCCTTCCCCTCTCAACATGGAGGACCGCACACTTATCCGTCCCCAGCTCCATTCCAATGGAACTGCTAAATTCACAAGTGATGTTTAGCAGTTCCATAAGATGGGAGCGACTGGAGGCGAATAACTTGAGGTCATCCATATAGAAAAGGTGGGTCACTTTTGTCCCTCCTCTCCGTAGCTGAAATCCCCTCCCGGAGCCCTCCAGTAAGGTACTGAGAGGGTTTAGAGAGAGGCAGAACCAGATTGGACTCAGACAATCGCCCTGGAAGATACCCCTTCTTATCCTTATGTGGTTCTCCGCAGCCATCATCCGCTCGCCCAGATGACAAAGGATCGTACTCCACTGCCCCATACACTGCTCGAGGAAGTCTCTAACTGTACAGTCAATCTTGTACAGCTCGAGGACCCTCTTTAGCCATGTATGGGGCACCGAGTCGAATGCCTTTCTATAGTCTATCCAGGCGGCAGAGAAGTTCCGACGGTTGCGTTTCACCACTTTGCCAATGACCGCGTCAATGAGGAGTGGTTCCTTGGTTCCACGACCACCGCCCCGACATCCATTTTGAGCGCGTGACATCAACTGGTTTAGCTCCAGGTGCCGAGTGATTCTCGCGCTCAAAATGGATGTCAGTGTCTTATATATGGTGGGTAGACACGTGATGGGGCGGTATTTGCTCGGGTCTGTGGTATCCTGATCTTTAGGAACCAAGTGAGTGATCCCAGTAGTGAAGAGGCTCGGGAGCGACTTCTGGTCGAGAGCCTCTTGAAACTGTCGGGCGAGCACAGCGTGACACACTATGAACCCCTTCAGCCAGTAATGATGCAGCCCGTCGAGCCCCGGACTTTTCCAGTTCGGGGCCCTACGGACCGCCTCAGCCACGTCTTCCGGCGTTACGGTGATGGGGTCCATAGGCGTAACACTCGCACCCTGGCTCGCCACAACTTCCATCCAAGGGCCCTCGCTGTGGTTTACGGGCTCTGACCACAGGCCACGCCAGAATGCGATAATGTCTGCCTGATCCGGTCCTTGGCCCGCTCCACATACCTTTGGCCGCTCCAATGATTTATAGAGCCTCTTCTGATCACTCTGGAAGAGACGATTCTGGTTGAACCGCCTTGACCTGTCGGTAAATCGTCGAATCCGCTTCCCCCAAGCAGCGATCTTTTGCTTCAGGTCGTCTATGCGCTCCGTTAGTTTCTGCGTGATATCCGGCTGGGACAAACTGATATTTGTCCCAGCAAACGCCATCCTAACGGTGCGCATAATCCTCGGTCTATTATTACCCGACCTGAAGCTTGTCAGTCTGCCGATAAGGGCCCTTGCCTTTGCGATACGGTCCTCGATTCTTTTTCTCCAGGCTGGGATGGCGCTACTTTGTGTAGTAGCGCGTCCAGCCATGGGAAGTTTGGCGCCAATAATACGGCAAACTGCCACTGCGGCGCCAAAGAGAATTGAGTCCGTCTCGCAAAGGTCCCGGCTGGCTTCCAAATAGGTCACCAGCATTGGGTTAAGAGCCCTCACGACAGCCCGATTTCGCTTGCTTAGGGGTATGCGGGGAAGTCGCGGTCGATTTTCGATAGGGGTGCTGCGCGTTTCCAAAATCGCCTCTTCCAGTATACTCCTCATTTTCTCTAGTTCGTGGGAGACTATTTCATCGTCGTTCGAATCAACCACAACGGGAAGATCCAGGGCGGCTTCCACGTGTGGATGCTGGTCTGTCGAATGTGGAGCTGCATCTCCAGCCATAGCCGATTCACTCGACGACGGAATAGCCTCACGTCGTAGTCGTCCGAGTTCGGCATCATCAAATATTTTCGAGCGCATGATGTACCGAACTCGGTCTGCCAGGTTTTGTTCCGTGACGGGGGTAGAAGGCTCCAGCTCAGCAAAAAAGCAATGCATCCGAGACCTATACGCTATTCCCACAGTTTCTTCCCCTTTCGCCCTATAGTACGCCCGCAATGCGTTTTCATTCATAGGTTTTGTCCAACGCATGCGACGTGCTCCACCATTATTATTATTATTATTATTATTATATTTTGTACATATCTATATTCTCCCTATTAAAGAGGTAACTTAAAACCTAATCACACGGGCCGAAGCCAAGCGTGAGCAGGCGCTAGGTGATGGTGTAAGCAGAGGTGACGGATGACGTGATGAGGAATTTGCGTGTGAGTCGGCATGTGTTGAGAATGACAGCTTTCTGCAGTGTGTGAAGTGTGTGTTGGGGTACTTGCAAAATATCTAGACTGCGTTGTAGGCTTTTAGGTATAACTCCGGTAGATGAGATAACTATTGGGACTATATGGATGGTTTCTGTTCTCCATTGACGCTTGAGTTCTATAGCTAAATCTTGATATTTTGTAAGTTTTTCAGCTATGGTGGATTGAATGTTATGAGTGTTTGGTATGGCAATGTCAATAAGGTAAGTAGTTTTGTTATTTTTGTCATACACTGTGATATCAGGCCTATTGAAGTGAATAGTTTTATCCGTGATAATGGTCCTGTCCCAGTAAATTCTATGATTATTGTTTTCTAATATGGTGTCCGGCTTATATTTGTAATATGGTGTCATTTTTTGTATGAATTTAAATTTAAGGGCTAGATATTGGTGTATTATGGAGGCAACCTGGTCATGCCGATGCTTATAGTCGGTTTGTGCAAGGGCTCTACAGGCGGATGTTATGTGTTGTATGTTTTCGGGGCTAGAGTGGCAATGTCTGCAAGTATCAGTGGGGAGGTTAGGTGCACGTATTATGTGTCTCTGAAAGTTTCGGGTATCGATGACCTGGTCCTGGATCGCTAACATGAATGCCTCCGTCTCTGGGAAGAGTTCACCGCGCCTCAGCCAGGCGTTCGACGCTTTTTTGTCGACATGTGACAGCTGCAGGTCGTGGTAGTGCCTTCCGTGTAGGGACTTCTGTTGCCATGAGGCCATCTTCTCTTTTACGTCAGTGATCCGTTCACTACGTTGTGTGTTTCGGTCCGCGAGGTTAAGTGGTGTGAGGCGTTTGTCGGCTAAGGTTACTATTTCGTGGAGAAGTGAGTGTTCTGAGCGTTGATGGAAATATTGTCGAAGGGATTTGATTTGTTTATTGTGCAAGTTGAGGACATCTATTATACCTCGTCCTCCCTCGGATCTTGAAAGAGTCATCCTTTGCACGCATGATCTAGGATGGTGCTTGCGGTGAGTCGTTAGAGTGGTATTTATAATACGTTGCAGATTGATAAGGTCACCTTGAGTCCAGTTTATTATACCAAACGAGTATGTCAGTATGGGGATTGCGTAACTATTGATTGCTTTTGACATGTTGCGGGAGTTGAGTTGAGACCGGAATATACTATTAAGCCGATGTTTAAATTTCTTTTTGAGACCTTCTTTTGTTTCCTTTTGATGGATCTGTCGCGCTTGTTGGAAACCTAAGTATTTATATGAGGCGTGGGGTTCTAGAGGTTCAATCGTATCTCCTGTTACTAGGCTATAGCTGTTGGGGTTAATTTTTCCATTTTTAACCGAGAAAGTTTTGCACTTGTCAATCCCAAACTCCATATGAATGTCGTTTGAGAAAGATTGGGTGATGTCTGCGAGGCGATGCAATGACTGTGTAGTGTTACTGTATAGTTTTATGTCATCCATGTACATCAGGTGTGTTAGAGTGGTGTGTTTGTGTGGTGTGATGATAGAGTAACCATAATTGGTTTTGTTCAGCATTTGCGAGAGAGGGTTTAATGCGAGACAGAACCATACAGGGCTAAGCGCATCCCCTTGGAAGATTCCTCGACGTATTGGAATTTCTGACGTTTCTATACAAGACGTTCCTATGGTTTTTAATGTAGTTGTCCAGTGCTGCATTGATTTTTCAAGAAAATGTATAAGTTGTGGGTGAATTTTATAGTGTTGAAGTACATGTAGGAGCCAGCTGTGCGGTACGGAGTCGAATGCTTTTCGGTAGTCAATATACATTGTATTGATGTTCTTCCTTTTAGAAATAGCATGTTTCATTGCTACGGAGTCTATTATGAGTTGCTCTTTACACCCCTGACTACTTTTTCGACATCCTTTTTGTTCTTCAGTAAGGATGTTGTTTGTGGCTATATGTTGGTGTAAGAGTTCGGCTATACATGCTGTAAGTAGTTTATAAATGGTTTGGAGACATGTGATAGGTCTGAATTTGGCAGGATTTTGATGATCTGCGTCTTTCGGAATCATGTATGTGAGGCCTTGTGTAATGTATCGGGGCATTATGTCTGGCTTTTGAATAAAATCATTGATATGGTTATGAAGTAGAGGGTGAATTGTTGAAAGTTTCTTATACCAGTAGTTATGTATACGGTCACTTCCGGGTGCTTTCCAGCTATGGGTTTTTTTTAATATATGCACAAATACTTCCAGAGGTATTTGTTCAAATGCCATTGGTGTGATAGAATCAGTTACTTCGGAATCTGATTTCAGCCATTCTGCCTCAGTGTTGTGGTGAACCGGTATAGACCAAATACCAGACCAGAAGCTATGTAATTCATTGGCGGGTGGTAATGGTGCATCTTGCCTATTTCTATTTGTGTCGTGTTGTGTGTCTGAAGTCAGGCTCCTATAAAATTGTTTTTCATTATTGATAAACTGGCTATTTTGTGACTTCCTAAGTGTGCAATTAAGGTACCTTTTTAATCTGCTGGATGCCGCATTCAGTTTTTGTTTAAGTGTGTCAAGGAATTGTTCATCGCTTAAATTGGGTTCTTCGTGCTGGGAATGTATTCGGTATTTATTTTTTATTGCTTCCACTGAAGTGGTGAGTCTATTGCTTCTATTGCCTTTGGTATATTCTGTTAGCCTTCCAATGTCTCTTCTGAAATCCAATATCTTTCTTTTTAACCTTTTCTGCCAAGCAGGTTCTTTATTTCGACTTTGGGTAGGTATTATGTTTATGTCTTTGACTTTGGTTCCGTTAATTATAGCTACTGTGTACGCTACGCAGTAAATTATGGTCTGAGTGGTCTCAAAATCCTGCTCTCTCGATATGTGATTTGGTAATATTTTAGTGTTTATAAAATCTACAATTTGTGCCAGTCTTTTAGAAGTTTTTTGTTTTGGTATATAAGGTCGTTTTGTTGGGTTGGTATTCCGAAATTTGTCTATTGCTATTCTAAACAGTTCCTGGATATTTTCCGCGTCATTATTTTCTATTGCTTGTTTTTTTTGAGGTTCAGAGGCTTGAGTGGATATCACTGATTCGTCAGGTTGAGGTTGTAAGGTTAAGTTAAGTGTATGCACGGGGGTGTTACTTTCTATAACGAATGGATGAACGTCGACTTCTTGTGAGTTTTCTGTTTCGGGTGATGAATGTGATGACTTATTTTCCATATTGTCTCGTCGGGAATTCCGGTTGCTTGCTATATTTTCGCGTATCTTTTGAAGTCTTTGGTCATTAATCATTTTATTGTTCAATATTACTCTGAGCTGATCTGATATTCGTTGTTCACTTACACCTGTTAACTCAGGGTGTTCTTCTATGACTGCTTGATGGAGGGGTCTACGGTAAGCTGATTTATTTTCTCCAAGTTTGGTGATTTTATAGTAATTTCTCACAATAGATTCGTTTTGGTCAGCTGTCCATCGTCTTCTTTGTGTCAATCCTTGCTGATTGCTAAAATGTGGTTGCATGTGTGATTGCGTGATCGAGTCGGTTTGTATATGATTGGTATTACTGTGTGTTTGTTGTAAATATACTGCAACTTCGTTCCTTATATGATCTAATGTTTTTTGGGGAAGTAATTTATTTCTAAATATAGCTCTGCATTGATCTCCCAGCCTTTGTCTCGATGCCTGCATCTGCGGATATTTATTAGTGAATTCTTTATGTAGATGATCGAGGTATATTTTGTTAGTATTTAATTTAGTGGCTATAAGGTACGTGCGCCAGATGAATTTATTCATTTCTTCTGTCCATCTTTTGCGCGCACGATTTCTGTCTGGGGCGGGTGCAGATTCAGTGGCTACAGCCTCCTGCACAACGTCCTCAGACATGGGTGATACAGAGTCTGATCTCGTTGAAGTCTGGTATGAACGTGGAGATGAAATAGATGACTCAAATGAATGAAAAGGTGAGGGTGTCGATGAGATTATATCGCTTAGCATGTCGGAGTCCGTATGTGTCGCTTGGGTCGTTCGACGGGTTGCTTTCGTCACTCGGGGATTCTTCGCACCCCTAGGCCCAGTCTCAGGCTGGCTTCCGTCATAACCAGTGCTGCTACTGGGTCCGCCGAGCACTTGGGGCCGTTTACTTCTTGTTAATACCATAATTATTCTCCATTTGGGTTTGGGTGTGGGACCGTTAGTTGGGGAGGGTTAGCAAAGATGTTAGTGGTTAATAAAATGTACCTCCTGTATCGGTAATTATACAGGGTATGGTCAAGTTCGTAGTGACCGCTGTTAGGTTTATGCCTCCCCTTAAGCCCCCACTACGTCAAGGTGGTCCCCGGGGGGGTTATTATTATTATTATTATAATCTTATTAATAATATTTAATCATTAATTCTTAAAGTAATAATTAATTCTTAAAGTAATCTTAAAGTAAGTCTCATATTTATGTAAAGGCTTGTTGATAGACAATTAATTAAGTAATTCGTTGACGAATTTGAAGATTTGCCAGTTGAAAATTGTATTGACAATTAAATCGCGCCAATTCTGTAAGTACCTACTTGATCATTTTATCTCGTATTTAGTGTTTTCTTGTTTATTATTGCAGAAAACATCAGAGTATCGAGAAATATAAATAATATTGAATATTTGCACATAGTTATATGTGTTTTCATTCATTTTGTTGCAAAATTACTGTTTTTTTATGTTTTACGAAAATTAAGTACTCTCATAATTAAACGAGTTTTTTACTTCGCTTTTAGCACTAATGTTGTATTGTAATATAAACTTAGGAGAAAAACGTTTTTAGTATATTTTTTTGTATGAACCAAGTAATTATTCCCATAAAATACTTTTTTGGCCCAGGTGGACCCGGGCAATATTAGAAAGCCGCAACGGCGTTTACTGTGGTATCATTACCATGTCTTACCGGTGTCGGCGTAGAAATAGCACAATAAGTAATTCTTAGTTTTTTGAATCATTATCTACGATGTCAGTATAGAGATAAGATGACAATTAAATAATATTATGTCAATCTAATAATAATTAATAATAGCATTTATTAACAATTATTGAAGTATAAGTTACAATTGCACTGCGTCTGAATAAAGAAACATCATGGTGGAATGAAGGCGTCAAAATTTTAATAAGAGCAAAGAGAGATGCATTTAAATTATAGTAAAATTCAAACCTTGAAGAACATCGTCTAGAATATAAAAGTCACAAAAAGATAGCTAAATCCGCAGTAGCACAATCCATTGCCAAATCTAGAAATGATTTCTATAACAAACTGGAAAACGCAGAAATATGAGAACACAATCTATAAAATAGCTAAGCAGCGTCACAAATCTACTCTAGATATTAAATCTAACAAATATATTAAAAACGCCCAGGGTACAATCCTAACGACCAGCAAGGACATTAATAGAAGATGGAAGGAGTACTACGAGCAACTGATGAATGAGGAATTCCCCAGTAAGACATTGCCTTATATTCCACCTACCGAAGGGCCTAATAAATGTATCTCAGCTGAGGAGGTGATAGAGGCCATATCCAAAATGAAGTACCACAAATCTACTGGCCCCGACCAGATACCAGCAGATATATGGAAGAAGCTAAAGAAAAGAGCACCTTGGCTCACTAATCTCTTTAACTATATTGTTAAAGAAGGCAGAATCCCAGAATCCTGGCGTAACATTATGCCCTATATATAAACAAAAATTGGATATCGCCCAATGCAGTAACTACAGAGGGATAAAGCTCACATCACACACGCTTAAACTGTTCGAAAGAATTATTGCCTCTCCAATAAGGTATCACTCTCAAATAACTGAAAATCAGTTCGGTTTTACACCTGGAAAATCTACCATCGATGCCATACAAACTGTTAGAGTTGTGATGGAGAAGCATCGATCGAACAAAGAGAATCTGTACCTCCTATTTATCGATCCAGAAAAGGCCTTTGATAGAGTACCCAGAAGCCTAGTATGGCAAGCCATGAGAGCGCAAAATGTCCCAGAGTATTACCTAGCAATAGTCCAAGATATGTTTAAGAACAACAAAACGCGCGTCAATAGCCCCGCTGGTTTCAGTGACTCTTTCGACGTAAAAGTGGGGGTTCATCAGGGATCAGCCTTGAGCCCACTGCTATTTAACCTCTGCATGGATTACATCACACGAGAGATGCAAAAAACCCATCCCAGAATATATGCTCTACGCGGAAGACATAGTCCTAATGTCGAAGAATGCAATAGACCCGCAGGAATCACTCCATCAGTGGGTAACACAAATAGAGCACCACGGACTGCGTATAAGCCGGAATAAAACCGAATATTTAGAATGCGACTACGGAGGGACGGCAGAAACGGGTTGCGAGATCTACATGGACAACCGTGCACTACCCAAAGTGGACAGCTTCAAACGGACGCTAGCGTTGACAAAGACGTAGATCACCGCATCAATACCTACTGCCTGGCTTAAATGAAGATCATTGTCGGGAGTACTCTGTGATCGCAACATACCCATCAGAGTGAAAGGGAAAGTATATAAAAGCGTAATAAGACCTGTCATGATGTACGGAGCAGAGTGCTGGACATAAAAAAGGCACACGAACAACAAATGCACGCGGATGAAATGAGAATGCTTAGATGGGCGGGAGGTGTGACCCGACTAGACTGAGTACTAAATGAATACATCAGGGAATCATTTAAGGTAGCACCTATAGCTGAAAAGCTAAAAGAATATCCTTAGACGAAATGATGCCCATCCAATACGCATAGCTTTGAATATTCCTGACCGTCCGTGAGAAAGAGGTCGACCACGTTCGTCCTGGTGGTCAAACATGCAGAAAGAGATCCTGAGAGAAAACCTGAGCACACTGACAAGCCAGAGTAGACCTCTCTAGCGCAATCGTACAAGGAGACCCGACCCCAGCTAAACTGGGAAGAGGGTTGGACAAAGAAGATTCTATTTAAAAAATACAACATCTTACGCAACTGCCGCAGACATTTTTTCGAGTGTGCGAGTGTAATGCAGCTTAAATCTGACAATAAGAAATATAAACGACGACACATGTATAAAGATTTAGCTTTCAAAGATTAACATCATTCATCATTAGGTACTGACTATCAAAAGACCATTGATCAAAGGTCTCCCCTCTCCGCTTCGCACATTGGCAACCGTAGTTTTTTTTAATAATTTTGAGTTCCTAATCATATGCCATGTTGCTTCATTTACCTCTGTTGCCTATTACTAGTCCCACGGGATGATATACGCCAAATGCGGCTTTCAATCATAATTTTTTAAATATCTTACTCCGTGTAAAAATGTTTTTTGGTTTTGTCTTTTTTGTGAGACTATTTTATTAATTACATGTATTACAATGCGGCGTTATAATTATTTTACTGCGGGACGGTCCCTTACAATTTGCGACGGCTCCCAACCATATCTAACATTTTACAAATCTATAATTAAGTATCTTTAAATGATATAAGATCGTTAAAATTGAAGTTTCAATAATTGTTAGCAAACTCCTTTAAAAACTCTTCTTTAATAGACTGTACAACTGTACAATAAGTTACACTGACTGTACAATAAGTTATAAAAAATTAATATGAATTTATAAAAAATATTGTCTTAAAAGTTCTTTAATAGTATTTTAAGAATATATAAAACACTTACTTGTAGCGTAAACGACGTGGAAAGGAATGCGTTTAGGCATTATTTGTTCTCTATCACTACCTGCCGGTTCTATGCAATGTTTTTAAATTCACTTCCATCGCTAATTACACTAAGATGATTTTAATTTACATAGGTAGAAATTCTAATACATTGCAAATAAAAACACATTTTTTTAAAGATAACACACGCAAAAAGCTTGTTCTCTACTGCCTACATCTCTTATTAACTACTTTAGTGTAAATTTAAATAAATATTTAATAATAAAATATCGTGAATGATAAAACAAGAGTGACAGAGGGTTGAGGACGAAGTTAGAGCGATAAGAGCGGCGCTGACAAAAATCAATACTTGAATAATTACCGGGTGCCCCTCACTGCCCTCTACTCTTCCTTAGTAAAACATTCATGCGCCATCTATTGACAAATAGCAGTATTACACGCTTTATATGCAAAAAAAGGCAGTCCGCCGGTACTGCCTTTTTTTGCATATATACATAGACTGTACCTATTTATTTATTTATCAAAATTTTCAAATCATTATCTAAGATAGTATGATTTATCACTTTTGCTGTATTCTTGTCTCAAGCGGCTGACTGTAGATGCTGCTAGGACAGTTAACACTCTTTCGGTGCTGAGAAGTTCAAAGCGATAACAGTCTTATGCTTAAGATTTGATTGTGATGTACGAATTGCTAAAAGGTCGTGGATTAGAATCTTGTGTCTTATAGCAATTCTGCAGCTATATTATGGTCGATTTGGTACCAGGCCATACATTTATACGAGGTAAAGCCAGGTTATAATATTATGCTTGTAGTCCGAATGGATAGGCTCGACTGGGTAAGGATCACACTCCCACAGAATAAAAGCATAAAAAAGCAGCGCAATGCTGCTGTGTTTCCTTTTTTGTGAGTATAGAGAACCGGAGATCTTTTGTACTCGAAATAAGGCATTCCATATTAGTCCTCATGGTGACAACGCATTTGCATTTTTGATTCTTAATCAGGGATAATGTAGCTTGTAGATGTCTATGGGTCACAGCACTTACCATCAGGTAAACTGTATGCTTGTTTGTTAACCTTATTCTATAAAAATAACTTGGTGAAAACCAATAACGAGCAGTTGTATCAAGTGTGCTCAACAAGATTGCAATAATAAAATATAAAGATATCAAAATAAGTGAAAACTAAACGCAAGGAAATCTGTAATATGTGATTAATATGTTTAACGTTAGAGGATTAGGGCAGAAGAAAACCACAAGTGGCTTATGACTATTATTTATTCTGTTCTTATGACGAGTTTATCATATCCTGCAGTAATCGTCGTTAGCGGTCGTGAGTATCCAGCGCAGGAGCGTGGTGACGCGCGCGTTGACGGCGGGCTCGCCGGACGCGCAGAACGCGCCGTAGCTGACGATGCCTACGCTGTACAGCAGCCCGTTGGACGGGTCCGTGTACAGCAACGGCCCGCCGGAGTCGTCCTGCAAATGTATGCACGTCAAATGAAACTAACTTTACGGATTTTTATCACGTGTCATTTTGAATTTTTCGTTTCCTACGTTTCGAGTACTTTAGTCCCATGGTCACGGAGAGGAACATTAATTTTTGATCACTTACAGTTACAGTATCTTGAAATCGAGACACACATATCTTGTACAGTATCTTCACATCAGGAAGTCAAATACCTCAGTCCCACCCGTGACCATAGCTGCTGTAAAGCACTCGAAATGTCAGGAATCAAAAAGTTTAAAATTAAGCGCTATAAAATTCGCAAAATTAGTTTATTTTAGTATGTAGTATTCATATTCGCGTAAATATATGAAATCATTATGTATAGACGTGTTGGTAGACTGCAAATAGAATCACAGGAGAAAGGAAGCGGTACGACAATGCGCCGCTCCTCTAAGTATGGAGTGTAGAGGTAAGGAGTACAGACTCTGTATAAAAAAATGTCCGTAGGAAAGCGCTAAATAAGGGTGGCGCCACTGTAGCTACAGTCTAAATTTTAAAGAACTTTTTATATTTTTTTATTGCACAGACTTTCACCATAATTTTTTTACAATAATTATTTTATTGCTTTCAAAATTTTTATTTTCAAAATCACTCTCAACGTATTTTATGGCAATTTATCATACCCTGTAGCTACTAGAGCGCTGTTGTGGAGAGTTTTTGAACTGTTATGTACTGCTTACAGATGGACACAATTTCAACTATTCTCCTATGGGAGATTGTCCTCCTTACCTTTATACTCCATGCCTCTAAGCTTAATAATTATTTGTCCCCTGAGGCTGAAAAAAGAGGTTGGCAATAGTACTCGAATATTAAGGCCAACCACTCAAAGAATTTTAGAACTGATGATGATGATGATTAAGGGCAAACGTTACATTTTATTTTTCTTTAAAAAATTTAATCAATGCTTTCTTCTCTTAGACAGTCTGTCAGAAGTCGAGAGGTTTTTGAACGTGGTAGAGCCATCCTGCAGTTATATTAAAAGTATAGATGTAGCACGAATGGGTCGGCTCGACCGGGGAAGTACCACGCTCTCACAGAATACCAGCGTGAAACAGTAGCTTAATGCTGTTGTGTTTCGCATGGTGAGTGTAGAGAACTGGAGACCTTTTTTACTGGAAACGAGACATTCCATCTTAGTCCTCACGGGTGACAACGCATCTGCATTTTGATTCGTAATCGAGGATAGATGTTTATGGGCCACAGCAACCACTTACCATCAGGTGGACTGTGTGCTCGTTTATCACCCTATCCTATAAAAAAGGTATAAAATAACCTTAATAATTAAACGGTCCCTCGAGTCATATTTGAAAATTTTGATTGTTTAACTATTGTATTTTTCGCGGACTAGAAAGTTGTCTAACGTAGTAATTTACTTATTCTCAAAATAAAAAATAAATAATGAAAACAAATATCATTAAATATTTTCATTTTAAAGTAATTATGCACTATTTATTTGTATATTATTTATTTATTTATTTATTCTTAATTGTAACACCTTACAACTAAGGTAACAATGGGCGGACTTATACCTCTCGGCATTCTCTGCCAGTCAACCAGTAGTGTGGTGAGCTATTATGGCAGGTGTAGTATCGCTCAATGATCTTTGGAGATTTTTTTTATATAGGTACCCAAAGTATGTCAGTTCAAACTATATAAATATAAATACAAATATATATAACAACTTTACATATACATACATACAATATATATATAAATATACCTTTCATATATATACATATATACATACATACCGTAATTATATAACTCACATAACATGAAATCATTCTTATCATGAAACTATATCTTGTTTCAAAAAAGGTGTTCACGAAGTAATTTCTTGAACGAGCACTTGCTTGGAGCTTTTCGTATATCTTCGGGTAAGGAACTCCAGAGTAGAGACATTAACTTTATGATTAGACGAGGACTGTAGAGCTCTGTCATGAGTTGAAAAAAGAAATGGAAATCTTTCCTTAATATAAAGAAGAAGCTGGATTGTTTAATAATAAGAAAACAGAACAAGCAGAATTCTAGAGTTGCGTCTCTGTTTGACTGTGAGCCATTTTAGGCGATTACGATAAAAAGAAACATGATCATACTTTCGAAGCCCGTATACGTATCTAATGCAATTATTAAGGAGATACCAAAGCTTGTTGAGAAGTTATTAATCCAAATCTGGGTAACAAACATCTGCATAATCAATACTAGGCAAAAAAAACTGCAGATACTTGCACAAGCAGGATCTTTGTGTTTACAGGTAGAAAATTCTTTAGACGATAGAGAGACCGTAAGGTGTTAAAGACTTTGTGACTGATTTCAGTAACATGTGTGTCCCATTTCAATGTGCTGTCCATGTACAGATCTAGACAGAACCCGAGAAGGGTATCAAGATGTCATTGTAATAGACCGAAGGCAGATTTGATAGGCATATCTTAGACACCATTCTCGAGCTACCAATAACTATTGCTTGACATTTTTTTGGGTTGACAGAAACACCAAAGCGCCTAGACCAATCACTAACAGCGTTTAAGTTCTTATTTAAGTTCACAATAGCGTTATGGAATTCATCAATGATATCTTGCATGTAAATTTGTAGTGCGTCAGCATACAGATGGTACGAACAGTTGAGTGATGAAGTTTATAAAACTGAGAAAATTATCGGAGAAAGTATTCCGCAATGCGGGACGCCAGTTTGAAGATCAGCCTACATTGAGCACTCTTGCTCTATATGAACCGACTGCCGGCGCCCGTGAAGATAGGTAGCAAGCCACTCCAAGGCTGAAGGTGCAAATCTTAAATGGGAAAGAATGGCTTGTAGGATATCATGGTCAACTGTGTTAAAAGCATAAGAAAATTCAACAAGCACCAATACAGTAACTTTCATTGTTTTCCATACCATTTCTGATATTTTGAGTAACTTTAAGTAATGCTGTAGTGGTGCTGTGACTAGGACAATACCCAGATTGATAAGCAGTCAGTGGTTTTGTAGGCCGACCAGGAAGAAGTCCCGTCGAACGGCAGCACTTTGAATCCACGTAGCGAAGGTTTAATAGCTACTACGGGAGCTGTTGTTCCATCCCCAAGTTTGAGGTCGTCTAGCTAATGTTCAAATATAAATTTGGATATTTGCTTATATACACAGGATTCTAGCACTTTAGATAGAAAGGGGAATATAGATATGGAATGTATCATTATCCTATACCTTTAAACGAGCAATTCTTGTAAATATATATAATCGGGATCTCGGAAACGGCTTCAACGATTTTCATAAAGTTTTGTGTGCAGGGAGTTTCGGGGGCAATAAATCGATCTAGCTAGGATTTATTTTTAGAAAATGTCTTTTTGTCCGTGTTTTAGGCAATGAAAAACTGCTACAATATCTTTAGAATAAGAAGGTAAATTTTGACAGTTTAATAATGATTACAAATATCTTAATTGATATATTGGGCCGCCACAAAATCGTAATACCATGGTTTTTTTAAGTTCCTTTTTTTTTGAGAAAATCTACTTTTTCGTGTCCTTTTTTTAGTATTTTTTAAAAACACGAAAATTTAAATTAAACTAATTGCACTCATGATTTTTTTTATTCAAATAACTAGTTCAGTTTTTTCTATTATGTCGCTACGATCAAAAAATATTATTCGTATTTCATCAGTATGTAATTTGTATCTAAATATAATTTCCAAAACACACGAATTAAAAAAAAAACCGAGCGAAAAATACCGAGCAAAGCTCGGTCAACCGGGTACTATCTAATAATGTCAAAATTATTTATAGTTACGTTTACTTTTTAAACGTACCTAGGTGGATTGAAAAGTTCTCGGCCTAACACAGATTCATTCAATTCTAAAAATCAAATCTACCCACATTATTTAGTTCAGTTCAGACTAGTTCATTGTGTGAAGTTCGAAACGTGTGCGATAATTAGTTGTGATTTTATAAATTTATTAACAAAGTAATCGGACATAATTTCCGCGAATGGAGCAAATCGAGCAGCGTGCCGTCATTAAGTACCTCCATAAGAAGGGGCTATCATCAAAAGCCATCCATGATGACATGGTCAGTACATTAGGCGACTGTGCTCTGTCATATTCATCCGTCAAAAAATGGATAGCAGAATTTAAGCGTGGTAGAGAGAGTGTGAAAGATGAACCCCGCTCTGGAAGGCCTTCGACGTCAACTACTGACGAAAATATTAAAAAAGTACTTGATTTAATAATGGGAGACCGCAGATTAAAAATTAGAGAGATAGCCGAGATTATAGGCATCTCTTATGAACGAACTCAAAACATCATTGTCAACGAGTTGGGTTTCCACAAGGTGTCTGCGAGGTGGGTTCCGCGACTGCTTTCAGTTGAACAAAAAGGACGCGATTGACTATTTCACGCGACTGTTTGGAGTTATTTGAAGCCGATGCAGATGATTTTTGAATCGTTTTGTTACTATGGACGAAACATGGGTTCATTACTGTACACCGGAAACAAAACAACAATCAAAACAGTGGAGAAGACCTGGTTCACCACCCCCTAAAAAGGCTAAGTCGATTTTGTCGGCAAATAAGGTGATGGCTTCAGTATTCTGGGACTCGAAAGGTGTGATTATGATTGATTATCTTGAAAGGGGTCAGACTATAAACTCTGATTACTACTGCACCTTACTACGTCGTTTACGAGAGGAAATAAAAGAAAAACGTCGAGGAATGCTCAGAAGAAAAGTCCTGTTTCATCAAGATAACGCCCGTGTTCACACGTCAGTACAGTCAATGGCTGAAATTCACAACTGTGGCTTTGAACTGTTACCGCATCCGCCGTATTCACCTGATCTGGCACCATCAGACTTCTTTCTGTTCCCTAACCTAAAAAAGCACTTGGGAGGTCAAAGATTTTCGACAAATGACGAGGTCAAAGCAGCTGTAGACGCATATTTTGACTCTAAGGAAGAATCGTTTTTTTTCAACGGTCTAAATGCTTGGAAGGGGAGGTGGCAAAAGTGTATTGAACTTGATGGTGATTATGTAGAAAAATAAAAATATAACTGATTTAGTATGTGTTTATTTTCTTGGTTAGGCCGAGTACTTTTCAATCCACCCTCGTACCTGACAGGAGTCTTTCCCCGGAGTGTAGGTGCAAATTTGTCGCGGCGTGACCGATGGCACGCTGCGCCGGCATGCAGGTTGACTGATCACGTCTACATCCACTTTCTGTAGGGTCGAGGACGTCGGACCACCGGGGAACAAAGTGCCCCAACCTGAATTGATAAGAAGCCGTTGTCTGAGTTCGAAACGGCGACTTTAAAAAGCTCACGTCAAAAATACCTCTAAATAGTCTGAACCACGCAAAGTTAAGATTGTAGCCAAATATCCGCGACTGTATAGTCGCTACCACCACTGGTGTCAAGACGGCTGGTCATTCTCGCGCCCACTGTCTAAATACATTCAGTGGGAAAAGGCAGCTTCCGTTCAAGACACTTACCGTAAAGTGTAGTGCTTGTGCTTAGGCGTGCGCCTGGGTGATTACAATCTTTTTACCTATTTCTACCTAAAAACAACAGTGCTTGAACTGCTGTGTTCCGACTTGTAGGATATAGGCAGTTGAGGTGATCCATCAAAGTCATTGTGACAACGCATGTGCAGCCTTCTTTGTTTGAAGTTGGTTGCAGATGTTTAATACACTGCAGCTGCTAATTACCATCAGAGGGAGTATAAGCTAGTTTGACCCTTCAATTTTATAAAAAAAAGCTTCGAGCTCTTGACTAACCGCTGATACACAACGATCAGAAAGGTTGTTTACGAAAACAACGAAGAAAGGGTGTTGGGGGTGTGGGGGTCCGCGAAAAAAGGAGGGGGGGGGGGGGGTGGTGTGGGGTTTTTTTTCGGTTTAGAAAACTTCTGGTAAATTACACAGTGGTGGACTGCCATACATCGAGATGGGGTGGATGGTATCGCGAGAATTGTCGCTAAGTACGATGGTCAAATGTAGGTAGTCCTTATCTGACCTTTTTTGTTGGCAAAAACTCTAAAAGCTATGAAGCTGCAAGAGCCAAAAGGCTAATAGCATTAATATCATCAAAAACCAATCGTCTAAAAATTAAAGTTCATTTTTTGTTGGCGTAAAATGAGCAGGAATAGAAATGAATATATATATTTCAAGAGCAAAGTGAATTTTGCCTTGCAACAGCGTGGCGTGTTCTTTCTTATTCTCTTGGGACTCTATACAGGAAATAAATTTATCTCCTGCATAGAAAGGCAGAAATAAACTAACATATAAACTTACTCAAGACATCAAATTGTTAGCATACTGCTTTTGAAATGTTTTGAATACTTACCTAATACAGTAAGTTTAGCTCCAGTGAAGTCTCTAGTAAGAAACTTGAAAGGCAAGCAGACTGGACCGACGCGGTCGCTGAACACAATCTCCCGCTCCACAGTCAGTATCGATACGTCGTAATCATAGTTGGCCCTGGAATATCATTATTAAAATAAAATTTTGCAAATGTATTTGTTAAACTTTTTTAAATACTGATCGACAAACATTGCAATAAAACTCAAAGATGTGCCAGTTCTGTTCCTTAACGGAAGAAATGTCTCCACACATCATAACTGATTGTGGATCCCTAATGCGCAAACCTAATACACATCTAGCTTACAGCTTAGCAACTCCTTTTATTCATCGTAGACGTAGGGCTTAGCAGTGAACTATAGCCATAGCAGCGATCACAATAGATTTTATAGGTCGCGGTATTACTGGTATTTCTAGACCTGCATAGCTGTTCGCACCAAAAAAAAATGGAGAAGGCTGTTGATGAGAGAAGAAGGTGATTATAATAAATTATTACTTACTCCGTGTACTGCGGGTGGATGTTGATATTAGTAACCCTGAATACTTGCGTTGCTGGTGAATCGCCTAGAAAATATGAAATATTATCACTTTAGTCGTTCAGCTTTCAACCCTGCTGCAATCATAACACAAATGCAGCGTGGTTCTATCACGTGACGAATCTTACCCTACCTCAACAAATGTTTTTTTTTAAATATTTATAAGACAATGCTTGACTTTTATGTCACCTGATGGCGTAGACAGAGAAACCTATAGACAAATTGACGCCTTCTTTCGCATTCGCACACGAAAAAGATAGATTTATGCATACGTCTTGCATAGAAATGAGATAGAGCGGTGTGATTGTTTGTCCCTTTCACCGTGCCGGTTTTTTTGTTTAGCAAACTCTAGAGTTTGCTAAACAAAAAAACTTCGAAAGCGTAGCGATTTAAGGAGTTTACAAGTTGGTTTAAGTGAGAAAAAAGTGTTTTGTGAGCCTAAGATTGGTGAATCTTGTTCAGTTCAGTTCTTAGAACAATTAAATTTTTTATCTAAATGTGTTTAAAAGTCATAAAGATTATTGTATAATCTAAAAATTCGTTATCGTCCTTTCTCACTCGAGGCCACGCCGATCATTAGTCTATAGGTTTTGTCTACGCTAATAGTAATTTATTAGGTTTTTTCTGTAATACTACAAATGACATAGTATAGGTATTTAAATAGATAGTGGATAGTGAAGTAAATTTCAACTTAGTTTTGTAATAAAGTACGTAGGTATTAGTTCTGTAAATAAATTATTATTTATTACTTAATTCTTTTTGCTATAAATACCTAAAAATTAAATAAATTCACTTTTCATAACTTCCTACTAAAATCCTTCGGTAACTTAAAGAAGCTATATCTGAAACCTTTTGTTGGTCATTTAGCAACTATCCAAGCAACAGTTATAATAGTAACGACTTTTTGCCATTACATTTGATCAAATAGGTAATATAAAAATATTCACAAAACACTATTTAGATAAACAGAGTTAAAAAAAAACTTTAAAATTGAATCTGCTGCGCATGTTACCCTGTGTTATGGAGTGTAGAGGTAAGGAGTACAGACTTTATAAAAAAGTGTCCGTAGGAAAGCGTAAAATAAGGGTGGCGCCACTGTAGCTGGAGTCTAAATTTTGAAGAACTTTTTATAATTTTTTTTATTGCACAGACTTTCACCATAATTCTTTTTACAATAATTATTTTATTGCTTTCAAATTTTTTATTTTCAAAATCACTCAACGTATTTTACGGCGATTTATCATACCCTGTAGCTACTCGAGCGCTGTTGTGGAGTGTTTTTGAACTGTTATTTACTGCTTGCAGATGGACACAATTTCAACTATTCTCCTCTGGGAGATTGTCCTACTTACCTCTATACTCCATGACCCTGGGTGCCTCACAGTTGTAGGAAATTATTTCACGCAGGTGACAAGAGTGACAAAGGGCTGGTTGTACTGCCAAATATTTTCTTTTTATGGACGTTTTCAGTACTCGATTGTCAAATTTAATTAAGTATTGTATTCGTTTTCGGATAAACAATTTTATCAACAAAAAATGAGGGAAACATAAGCATGGCCGTTATTTGAATTCAATTTTACTTGGTACCTAATTCATATAACTATATCAGTAATTCACCATTCTAGATATTATATTTTTCGAAAACGGCACTTAAAATTAGTTCAATCAATTAAATAAATTAATTTAAAATAAGCCTACTATAAAACACGCTCACGCACAAGGTCGGCCCACCCACTGTCCCGCAGTACCCCCCCCCCCCCCCAAAATTGCTCTACACAAGTATATTCGTTTTCTAACTGTAAAGTCTTTAAGCTGTGGCAAAGGCCTAATCTTCTTCCTGCTTCAGATGTCTTAAATTTTTTTTTCAATTTCTCAGAAGATTTCCCCACGATGTTTTCCTTCTTCGTCCGAAAACATGGTAAATTAGCAAGCAAAATTGCAATGAACAATTTAATTTGTGACCGCGGGCATCGAATTCGGGTTGTACTGTGAAACTCGAGGTGAGCGCATAGCTCCTGAGACTATTTTGAGTAATGAAACTGTTAAATCTAACTCACCAACATTTACGTTGTGTTCGCCAACCACAACGCCCAGCTCCCTGGCCGTCTTCCTGATGACACAATGCGCGGCGCTCATCACGCGCCGGTTGCTAATGATGACAGCACCGCACTTGATACTACGGAGGTCCACATATATGACTCCCGCCATCATCGGGTACTCGTTTACACCTGTTTCTTGACCGCCTACAATACGGTTCTGGAAACATGTGCCTTACATTCGTATTGACTGAGCAGATTTAAAAGAATCGCATATTTCCTGCACACGTTGAGGATGATGGTAACACAATTAAGTGGTGAGACGAATTCGTGAAAACAAAAGCAATCAAATACGTTCATTGGTTAGGTTTCGGACATTGTTTGATTTTAAAATTATTATACGATCTAAATAAATCAATAAGTCAAGTATTACTCAGATGAAGATTAACAAAGCAGCAAAATTATAGTATTTCTGAAGAATAGCACGTTGCCAGAAGCTGGTTCTCTTTACTCATAATATGAAAATCAACAGATCGTTTTCTTTATTCTTCTTAGGAAAACCTTTCCCATTCAACTCCCGTCAAAAAGAGAACTCCATGGATAACATAGTTAAAGTACCAGGAAAAGATAACATTAATCACCGAGTGCTCCTTGATCCATGATTCATGTTTTTTACTTATTCGTTGATTAACCATTTATCATCCAATCGTGAACATTTGGTAAGGGGGAAGCATCTTGGATAAGATTTTCCATAGATATCCCATTAGAAAATCCTTTCAAAATGGATTCCCACTATACACATAATACATTGAATGTAACTAGCTCTTTACGTCCTTCGTTACCATGAGTGCTACAAAGTACCCGAAACGTAACTACTTAATTAAATGCGATTTAGGGGGCAATCTGTGGATGAAATCTGTATAAGAACTAGTTTCATTCAATATTTGGTGTCAAAAAAGGTGTTTGGGTAAATATAATAAATTATAATAATTATACACGAAGCATTTTCTCGAATGCATTTCCGGTTTTCTGGTTTTATGACTGTTGAACTCGGCTTTCTAGATCGACATACATAGCTCCTCAATTTTTTTATAAGGTCTTTATATACGAAATTGCCCTCTTTTATGAAATCTTTTATTTCTATTAGTCAAAGTAATCACCCATGCAATCGATGCATCTTTACTAACGTAGTGGCAGTTTATTGATGTCCTTCATGAAGAAATCAGCTGGGGAGGAAAAATTCTTCAAAATCGTGTATTTTTTCCCCGTCAAAAATTATCAAAATTCTGTAAAAAGTAAAAGTTTGTATACGTAAGGTCTAGTGAGTATGAGAAATGATGGATAGCTTCCAACCCCAGCTCTTGTAACTTGAAGATCATCTGTTGTGCAGTATGAGGTCGCATAGGAGCAGCGGGGATGAGTGATTGACCAAAGCTGGTTGGAGACCACCGATATATATGTACTACGCACCAGATTTCACATTCCGAACACTCACTTTGTTCAAATGAAATGTACTGCAATCCGTACAACTTGTTTTAGTGTCATTTATTCTGACTTCGATATTCATACAGTGCGAAGCGGCGCTACAAATACGAAAATTCAAATCAAAGTAAGGGACGTGAATTACAATTCAGTAGTCAAGTTATTAAAATGAAAACCCTGTGGTTCCCGTTAACTGCGTTGTCAGAATCAGTATCCAAGCGTATAGCAATAATTTTTTTCAATAAAACACATTTAAAAAAATTATTTTAAAGAAAAAAAATTTAATTTGCAAATTGTATGTGGTTTTATTTCCTCTTACTCACACGAGTATCGGGGTCTTTGACAATCCTCTTACTCCTCGGCCAATGCAGAGATAGTAAAACCACATACAATATGCAATTTTTTTCATTAAAATAATTTTTTAAATGCGTTTTTTTTTAAATTATTTTTATACGCTTGGATAATGATTCCGATAACGCAGTTAACGGGAACCACGGGGTTTATGTTACATGTTGTGTATATATATATATATATATATATATATATATATATATATATATATATATATATATATATGTGTGTGTGTGTGTGTGTATAGGGTGTTAGTGTAAACACCGTTGTCCTTGAAACCAGTGGTTAGGTTTCACTTATAGAACGTAAATTCAATGATTTAAAAAAACGCTATTTTCTTTCATAAAATTTAAAAAGTTTCTGTCCGACACCGTCCGTAAATTCATGGACACCCTATGTGCCCGAGTGGCGTAATCACTGTAAAGACCACCGCCCGCGCTAGCTACCTACACGACATTCAACATAAAAATACAATAGGTACACATACCCTGCGATGTAACTTTTCCTTTATACTTTCATCCTGGCTTAAGGTAAGCAAAAATTGAGGAATTAAGGAAAAATTGAGATTTTAAAAAAAAATGTTGTTATTTTTCATTGAATTTACGTTCTATAAGTGAAACCAAACCACTGGTTTCAAGGACAAAGGTGTTTACACTAACAGCCTATATATATATATATATATATATATATATATATATATATTATTTAGAAAGGTTGATTATTAAATGTATATTTTTATATTTTACAGCTACCTTTAAAAAAATTCAAAAAATATAATTTAAATGTATTTGTGACCTAATATTATGTAGTATTATATTTAATTAGCACATATGCAAAATAAATGACAATTAAAAAAAATTTACTCGATATAAGTAACAATACAATCTAAATAAATAATTTTACATACATTGATTATTCTATCTACGTAATAATCTATGATGACAAAAACTGCCCGCGCAGGCGCAATGCGCGCTTATCCACGCATGCGCGACTCTATTGTCTCTCGCGCATGCCCGAATATAGAGCACCGTATATTTTTTTATTTGGAATAGCTTCTCTAGTAAGTAGTACATATAACTCAATGTCGGAGACGCGCGAGCTTCTCCATCATTGAATTCAATTCTTCACAGTACACACCTGCAGTAATACTCATCCCGTTTGGTAAGAAGCTGTGATGAATCACACCGGCATTAGACCATCACTTTTCTAGGGGTAACTTTTTGTTTTGGGCATTGTTTAGATGCTGAACTAGGATCCAAACAACTTGCTAAGCGCTTGCGATTATCAAACAGAATCCATTTATCGTCACAGGTAACAATGCAGTTAAAAATTACTTCGTTTGTGGCTTGTGTGGGTTTTAAAAATGGAGTTTTGTTTTTTTTTGTACTTTTACTCGAATTTTAATGTATCCCATGAAGAAAACGATTCAAATGCGATGAAAAACATTACGCTCATCAATAAACAAATGACTAATTTTGAATAAAGAATTCCTTGTTTTTAGAATAAAATAATTTAAAATTAGAATTCGTGGCCGAACAAACATTATTTGGATTTGAAATGGCCAGTACTGCAGGACGGCAATTTCATAAGTAAAGAAAATAAACCTGTTGTAAATTACCTATTTTTCATAGTAGGTTACGAATTGTTCAAAAAATAAACACTAATTTCTCTCGACAATTTCGTTAGCCAGTTGACACCCATTTTCACCGTGTTTTTATTACATCATTTTCTTGTCTGTGTGTCTGTCTGTCTGTAATTCCGGATGGAATCTTGCAACTCAAATTTGGAACACTTTCCGATTAACTAGAGACTTGAAATTTTGAAGATAGATGAGAATCTTACACAATGTAGGAATATGACACATGAAAATAAAACCTGGTATATTTAATTATATTAGTACAAAATTTTAAAAAAATCACTTGTTTTAAATCACGTGCATTTATCAGTCTCTCTACCGTAGTTGTATACAGAAAACTTCTCTGATATTTCTTCAACGGTTGTTCGCTAATCATTCAATATAGCGTGATCAATATAATTCTTTGGAGCTCACTAAAGGCCATCCAAATCGCAGTACATTTTCGCAGATTTTATCGCCTTTGCTGCTTTTTTAAACAAAGACGGCGCGTGCTTAAGTATATAGAGCTTCCTAAATATTTTGACAAATTTTGACATTTATCAAACTCAAAAAGCAAGCAGTGTCGGATACAGCCTTTGCTACACGGGATGTCAGTAGTGATGTGAATTAAGTCATTGTCATCATCGTTACAGCCCTTCATAAATCCACTGCTAAACATAGGCCTCCTCCAAGAAATGCCATAAAACAGAGACCTAAGCCACAGCATTAAAAGACTTCCTGCAGGTCGCCACTCCGTTTAGTAGGGGCTGCCCCGCGTTTCGCTTCCATTAAAGAACCTATCTTCCCCATCAGTTGTCGGTCCTTAAAGCTATTCAGGGTTTTCAAAGAGTAGCCAAATTTTAAATTTAAGTTTAAATATATAAATAATGATATTCATTTATTACAGTTTTTAAAAATACGAATAAATAAGGCTTTTACTTTTATTTGAAATTATCCCAAATTGAATGTGATTTGTGGGCAACAACGTTTTGGCCTACCGATCAACCCTTACGAATGTGAGCGTGCGTGCTTATTAAAGCCAGGTTTACATTTTGAGAAGTTACAAAAGCTAGTGGCAAGTGCAACTGACTAAATAGTGACAAGTGCTTAGTGTGAATTTTATTCACACTTATCACTTGTGACTGCCTGTTCACACGCACTTGTCACTTCTGAAAATGTAAACTGGACCTAAAATCATTTCAAATAACGCATTACCAAGCATTTTGAATTAAAAAGATAAAAAGGACCGAATATTAGAGAATTATTTTAATTAATTTTTCTTTACCATTTGCCTATATTAATTCTGAACCTTCTCTGCAAATTTCGTCGGTTATTGCAAAATAACCCTGTATGACCGACCCATCGCCACTTTAGCTTACTCATCCGTAATTCACAAGTTACATAATTCGTATGTAGGTACTTATGGACTATTCATAGCTTGCGTCATCTCGCAGCATATTTTTTTATTATTGCGTTTTTTATCTATCTTAGATGTCTAGATTTGATAAACGAAACTTTTGCCCACGCGTAATATTTAAAAAAATATTTTATGCATGTTCAAATAATGAAAAACAAATATTTTTCCATTGCTTCATCTTTTATCATCTATCTTATCAATATAAATTTTACGTTATAATTCCAAAAACGATTTTGATGTAATTTTTCTCACCAGTTTTTTGTAACCGCATCTACATCTCGTCGGGCTGATTGTAGCAGGCCTTGCCCTCAGCTCACAATAGAACCGACCGCCAGGACTCTGGTTCGATGAAATCAGACCTGCGGATTTTTGATGATGCGGATTAAACTCATTGCAGACGATACGGCCCTCCTTTTCAGTGACAATTATTAGGGTCAACATTATAACAAGTTGGCTATACAAGAACCTTTTAAACCTCAATGTTTCAAAGATAAATTATATCACTTTTTCCATTAAAAACACTGACTAGTTACTACTACTGGCCTGACCCTACACATCGAATTGTTTCACACTTGTGTGATAATCGCAATGATACAACCTGTCCTACCCAAAACTTATATACACAGACTCTACTAAATACCTAGGCGTAATGATTGACAATAAATTAAGTTTTCACTATCACATTGACCTTCTAACGGCAAGAATACGCAAATTAATTGTAATATTTAAGGCCTTGAAACATGTGGGTCAGAAAAAAATAATAAAATCAGTTTACCTCGCTCTTTGCCAGTCGCAACTGATATACTGTATCACTTCTTGGAGTGGTGCCCGTAAAACACACATACTGAAAATTGAACGAGCGCAAAGAGCACTATTAAAAATGAGCTCGTTCCTACCATTCGATTATCCAACGTTTGATCTCTATCAAAAATGGAAAGTCCTGACCGTACGACCTGACGGAATCCCCCAAATTGTGCTGAGGACGTGGGCTCCAGAGTTAGCACCGGTTTTAACGCGTCTTTTCTGGTACTCCTACTCCCTAGGCGTAGTCCCAAAATCATGGAAGACGGCTTTCGTCCACCCGATCCCTAAAAAGGTGACCGCTCAGACCCGTCTAACTACCAGCCTATCGCCATCACCTCCTTGTTCTCCAAAACAATGGAGTCCATTGTAAACTGCCAGCTCATGAGGTATCTTGAGGATCACCAGCTGACTAGTGATCGCCAATACAGTTTTTGCCGTGGTAGATCAGCTGGTGATCTTCTGATCTACCTAACTCATAGATGGGCGCAGGCAGTAGAGTCCAAGGGAGAGGCATTGGCCGTTAGTTTAGACATTGCGAAGGCCTTCGATCGGGTTTGGCACAAAGCGCTTCTTTCGAAACTCCCTTCCCATGGGCTTCCCGAGAAATTATGCAATTGGATCACCAGCTTTCTTGCAGATCGGAGAATCAAGGTCGTTGTAGACGGTGCAAGCTCCGATTACAAGCCTATTAATGCTGGTGTTCCACAAGGCTGCGTGCTGTCGCTAACGCTGTTTCTTCTTCATATCAATAATACTCGTATGTTGCAAACCCATAACATACATTGCTATGCAGATGACTGCACTGGTGATGCTCTGTACACCGACAGTGCCAATGTTTCTCGGGAAAACGTCTCCGAGTATCGGAACAAACTTATTTCTGAAGTCGAGTCTTTGCTGAACAGAGTCTCACATTGGGGGCGACTAAATCTGGTCCAGTTTAACCCTCTGAAGACACAAGTTTGCGCGTTAACCGCTAAAAAAACCCCTTTGTCGTATCTCCTCAATTTCAAGGCACTCCCCTTATTGTCTCAGCCAGTATCGGAATCCTCGGCGTCGACATATCGAGTGGCGTGCAGTTTCGTGGTCACTTGGAAGAGAAAGCCAAATTGGCTTCTAAAAAGCTTGGCGTGCTCTGCAGAGCGGGACAGTATTTCATGCCGGCACACCGCCTGCAATTTTACAAGGCGCAGGTTCGGCCGCACATGAAATACTGTTCCCATCTCTGGGCTGGAGCTCCCCAGGGCCAGCTCCTTCCACTTGACCGCATCCAGTGCAGAGCGGCTCGAATCGTCGACGACCGAGTGCTTTCCGATCGGCTCGATTCACTGGTGTTGCGAAGAGATGTTGCATCTCTTTGCGTATTTTATCGCATCTATCACGGGGAGTGCTCTGAGGAATTGTTGGGATTAATCCCAGCCGCTAAATTTCGTGAACACACTACGTGGCAAACGTCCCGATACCATCAACACCATCTGGATGCTTGGCGGTCCACCACTGTACGTTTCAGAAGGAGTTTTCTTCCGCGTACGACCTCTCTGTGGAATAGTTTACCACCGGCGATTTTGTCGGACCGATACCTCTTCACTACTGGGATCACTCACTTGGTTCCTAAAGATCAGAATACCACAGATTCGAGCAAATACCGCTCCATCACTTGTCTACCCACCATGTATAAGACACTGGCATCCCTTTTGTGCGTGAGAATCACTCATCACCTGGAGCTAAATCAGGCGAAGTCACGCGCTCAAAATGGATGTCGGGGGCGGTGGTCGTGGAACCAAGGAACCACTCCTCATTAACGCGGTCATTAGCAAAGTGGTGAAACGCAAACATCGGAAATTCTCCGCCGCCTGGGTAGACTACAGAAAGGCATTCGACTCGGTGCCCGATACATGGCTAAAGAGGGTCCTCGAGCTGTACAAGATGGACTGTACAGTTAGAATACTAAACGAGAAGAAGTGGTTTCTGTGGCCCATAAACATCTTTTAGCATGGCTCTATCACGCATATAACACAATTGAGTTATTAGCACTACAATCGCTAATCTGCTTGCCGAGTATAGCCGTCGCCGTTAGAGCCTATTAAAAGTCTATTTTTTTCTCCATCATCCATTTTTGCACACTCAGTTCTGGCGAGGCACGGCGCACACACCTCTTGGCAAGACGCTGACTGACTGCACCGACGTAGCAATTTTGTCACTTAACTGTTACGCTAGCGGGCGATAGGGTCATCACTTCCCTACGCCTTATTATTATTATTATTATCAGTTCATTACGTCAAATGTCCACTGCTGGACATAGACCTCTTTCACTGTAGGGAAACTAGCCCATATCGCTTATGGGTGACGGAGATGCCACAGAGGGAAAGAAAACTGGATATGGCCAGCAGCTTTTTCCCAATAACTACAAAAAATCTTCGGTTGCCAACCCACCTACCAAGCGTGGCAACTATGGTAAATATCCCCCCTATGAGGCATCAAGGGGAGAGGTTTTTTCAGCAGTGAACTTTTAATAAGCTGTAACGGTGACGGTAATGGCTATACTCGGCAAGCAGATTAGCGATTGTAGTACTAACAGCTCAATTGTGTTATATTAGTGGTAGAGCCATGCTGATAGATGTTTATGGGCCACAGTAACCACTTACCATCAGGTGGACTGTGTGCTCGTTTGTCATCCTATCCTATGAAAAAAGTAACTTTGATGAGGATTGTTTGCCGGTGGGAATCACAACTCCGCCCCTGAGTCATATTTTTTTCATTATGATAACACTTTAAATGTATATAAAATAATAATATAAAATACATCGACTTTATCTATTAATATCAATTATTACAACAAAACGTAATGTCAGACACAAAACGATGTCAATTGTCAATGTCTATTGCCACCAGATTTTCTTTTATAGGATACGATGACAAACAAGCACACAGTCAACCTGATGGTAAATGGTTGCTGTGGCCTATAGATATCTACATCTATCCCCGATTAAGAATCAAAATGCAGATGCGTTTTCACAGCAGCATTAAGCTACTATTTTACGCTGGTATTCTGTGAGAGTGTGGTCCTTCCCCGGTCGAGCCGACCCCTTCGTGCTACTACTATACTACTAATATAACTGCAGCATGGCTCTACCACGTAGGCATGGCTCTACCATGTAGAATTATACAATCGCACTGCTGATGTTTCGCGACTTTGACGGAGCTCCTCATCATTGATCTAAATGTTTTGCATCTGGCAAAAACGAGATCATAGAACACTAAATATTACTCTTTACGATGTGGTATATACCCCATGAGTGTAGTGAGAAGCTACAGAGGGGAATGAAATAACACAAAGTCCTAATAAAAAACAGCGGTTTCCAACCCACTTGCAAAGCGTGGCAACTATGGCAAATATCCCCCCCCCTCTATGAGTTTTCTATATGGAGGCCTGTGTTCAGCAGTGGACTTGGATAGGTTGTAATGGAAATGGAAATGAATTAATGCATTTTTAAGCGACGTATAACAATGAGAGATTGTAGGTATATTTCACTAGTCATTACAATGTATATCTAAAGCTAAAGACAATAAACTTTTATTTATGTAGTAGATTTCAGTATGTAGATTTCAAACATAGATATTGCAATATTAAGATATAGCCAAATCACAGCGATAAGTAAAGTAAACATTTTTTCCAGCGTGATTTCTAGCAGCTCGAATGAAAACCGTGTGAGTTGTTCAGCTCAGGGGTAGCGCTCCCTGTAAAATTTACAGAACGCGAGCAACCCTGTTTGGATTGGCGAACAGCTCCAATGAAATTGTTAGTTGCAATATTAAGTGTTGATTTATCACGTATTTAGCGGTGAAGGAAAACATCGTGAGAAAAACTGCATGTCCGAGAAATTATAAAAAAAAATTTCGAAATTTTTGGCGGATTTTTCTTAGCCCTGATACCCTATAAAAAATGAAAGAAGATGTGTACTTAGCGAGAGGCGTATATACTTTACCTTTTTTATCCTGTCGTCATGTTTTTCTTAAACGTTTAGCTTACCCAAAAATGTTTTTTTTTTACCACCGTCCACATGTATCTCAATAGGATTTAAGTGTTGCTACGGTAATTGATCGTAGGTTGCAATAAACAGGGTTTCATTGGTTGTTTAGATAATAATAATCAAATAACAGACGAGTATTTTAATATATTAAACTAATGACAAATAACTTATGTTATCTACTACAAACCAAAAAAGACAACAGGCGTATTGCTATGTTTCACAACCTATAAAAATACTGACTCTATATAACTGACAAAAGTTAGCGTGTGGTACCCGTTAGTCTTCTTAGCTAGAACATTCATCATCTTGTAGCAAATCAGTTATAAATTAATATAGAAATTATCGCGTATCACATACATACCTAAGGATAGTCTCCGCTCATTTGACTTCACATTTAATGTGCCACGACCGCAGTAGTACTCTGCTGACGCTAATTGGGGGTCTCCATTTCTTGACAGGAGGAGCCGGTCCATATAACACGAAGGAGACTGTAATGTTGGAAGTAGGTTGTAAGGTTTACCTAATAGAGTCATGCTGCAGCTATACTATCGTTTTAGCACAAATTGGTCGGCTTGATCAGGGAAGGACAACGCTCTGGCAGAATACCAGCGAAAGTAGCAGCTTAATGCTGTGTGTCGTATGTCGTAGCGATCCGGAAACCATTTTTACTGGATACGAGGTTTTTACTGGTATTATTAGTCGACAATATATGTAGTTATATATAGGCCACAGCATCCACTTACCATCAGAGTGGATTGTGTACTCGTTGTTAACCTTATTGGATAAAAAAAGATGCGGTAATATTTAATGGTGTGCTATAAGATGATCATTATCGGAGTGGTGGTACCTAAGGGGATAATCACTCGCCTTAAAAGTTCAAAGTACGCCAGCAAACCAAATCTGATCCCCACCACCACCAATGAAATTGTTAACCAAAATTTTACTTTTTATAAAACTGAAGAGACCACACTAACTTACAGTTCATCATCCAGTACCATAAGTAAGTGGCTACAACAGCCCATGGACATCTGCAAACAACATCAAACAAAAAAGGCCACAGATGCGTTGTCAAATCTGAGTACTAAGATGAAGTGCCTTAGAGCCTGTAATTATACTGGTTTTTCATGCCCTCCTAACCGGAAATATGGATATATAGTCATGCGAACAAAACATTGAATATATGAACGTTTTTAAATAATATAAGTAATCATTATTCTTTCTCAACGGTTATTGATTCTACGAGTACCTTATGTCTACGATTGTTAATTACTTCTTATTTATTATTGTTGTCTACTAAATCATTTTCACCTCAGGTAAATTAATCTCGGAGCAGTCCAGCTGACAGTTGTATCCTATTGGACAAACCATTATCCACCTGCACTGAACCCCAGCGGAATAGTTGCCAGGATAGTTTGGACTATAGACGTAGTACACTCGGTTTGGTTGTACCTAAAACATACAAACATGGTAATTGCGATGGTTCATCTCGACCGCTGTTACTGCACAATGCTTAAAGACCATTATCACTCTTATCCTGTGATGTAGTATGATATCGATTTCGATTACCAGGATAACTTTCAAATATGTAGGTTAGAATATATCAATTGCGCAGATATTTTAATGCCTCAATAGTACGAGCTGAAACAAAGACAGTCGTAGTAACCACATACTACGATCCACGGTAGAGCCAAGCTGCTGCTGTACGGCTGTAGTACAAATGTATCGAATAAACCGGAGTAGACCACTCTCTTAGCGAATACCAGCGTAATATAGCATTTTTTATAGGAGAAGGGGCAAACGAGCAGGCGGCTCACCTGATGGTAAATAACTACCGCTGCTCATGAACAACCACAACACCAGGGGAATTGCCAACGTTGCAAACCTTTTAAAAAAGAGTACGCTCATTTCTCGAAGTCGTCTTGGTCCGGAAAAATCTCAGGTGGTAATCGATTCCACAAGGAGGTTGTGCGAGGAAGAAAACTTCTTCTAAATCGCATAGCGGTGGACCGCCAGTCAACCAGATGATATGGATGGTATTGCGAGTTTTATCGCAATAACATCCATACCATCTGATCGGCTTTATTTATTTTTACTTATTATGAGCCAATGCTTGACTAGAATCCCACCTGATGGTTGTGGTGATGAAGCCCTAGAAGACGAATCGCACTGTCTGAGCGTAGCAATTGCCTATTAACTCTTGTCTTGATCATAATGCTGTTGTGTTTCGTATGCTTAGTATAGAGAACCAAGTGTACTCCTCACTGGTGATGGTAACACATCAGTATTTGGATTCTCAATTGAAGATATTTTTTATAGAATAAGGGTGATAAACGAGCACAGTCCACCTGATGGTAAGTGAATGCTGTAGCCCATAGACATATACATTTATCTTCAATTAAAAATCAAAATTCAAATGTGTTGTCACCCCTGAGGACTGAGATAGAATGCCTCGTTTCCTGTAAAAAAGGGTTTCCGGTTCTCTATACTCGCTATACGAAACACAGCAGTATTACGCAATTTTACGCTGGTATTCTGTGAGAGCGTGGTCCTACCCTGATCGAGCCGACCCATTTCCGCTGCAACCACAATATAGCTGCAGCATGTCTCTACCACCTAAAGAATATAGTGTATGGACTGTTAGTCACCCTACTTCTATTAACAATTTGTCCGTACCCGATACCCGATACAATGCTTATGTGTTGACTGGCAGTTTTTTTTCGGGCCTGGTTCTTCTGTGACTGCGCCTTTTATCGATCGAAGTAGTTTTGGGTCGCGTAGAAATGAGAAAAACTGTCAGATCCAGACATAATTCAATTTGCTTTTTTTTGATGAATCTTGGCTTTAGCTGTTATTGGTTACGGTGTAAGGATATCCACCGCCGCGTATCTTTCCGTCGTAAGAGACGACAAGGGGAAACTAAAATACGAGATGATCATGACATAAGATTAACAGCAGCATCTTCCTGACAACAACTCAAAATTATAAAAAACCGCGGTAACCAACACGTCCGCTAAACATGGCAGCTATGTCAAAGTCCCACACAATGGGTGCGTTTGGCAGAAAAAAGCGCTAGCAAGCGCTTATAAGCGCTAAAATAGTTTTCGGCCAGGACACGATTGCTACTTCAGTAGCGCTGACACAATCCGCCATTTTGCTTATTTAATTTGTTTGTTTTGAAGTAGAGTTTATAAGTTGTTTTGTGCAATATTAGTTTTAAGTAATATAATGACATGAATAAACATATACATGCTATTAAAAACTCATGATTGGTAAGTTTTTAATATGAATACTTTACAAACATATATATAAATTAGGTTAGATTCCCCGGTTAAAACTAACATCGTGTCCTCGAAGAAAATAGCTACTTACGATTTGACAGCGCTTACCGCTTACGATCGCCATTTTGCTTACAAGCGCTTGCTAGCGCTTTTTTCTGCCAAACGCACCCAATGTATTAGGGAGGCTCAGCTCAGATGTTCAGCAGTGGACATTTATACACTGTAATGGTTGTAGAGCTTAGGTCCCATGACACGGTAAACAGGTATTTACACGTATAAGAGTGAAGCCTCTCGGTGCTTTACGGCAGCGATGCGGTACGGTCGAGGTGGGTGTTCATGTGAAAATAAGCGTAAAATCCTAATATCACTGGTATAATAATTAAAAAGTACACTTACATACTGACTATAGTCGCAATTAGGGTTTTGGGCTCGTCCACAACTTAATAGAGCTAGTGATAAACCGATCGTTATTAGTATCATCTGAAAAAAAAAGAATATTTAAAAATATTGATCTCCGTTTATTCAATAGTACAATTTTCTCTTCAACCTCAAGGTTATCTGGAAGTGATCGCTTTTTAGTGATAAGACCGCCTTATTCAACCTATCTCCTAAGTTTTACTTCCTAAAATAGTTTATTTTCATGTCTGTGCTGTTCAATAAAGTATATATGACTGCTATGCCGGAGGTCGTGGGTTCGATTCCCACCCAGGACAAATGTTTGTGTGATGAGCACGATCATTTGTTCTGTGTCTGGGTGTAATTTATCTATAATATTTATGTATTTAGAAATATATAAGTATGTTTATCAGTTGTCTAGTACCCATAACACAAGCTCTGCTTAGCTTGGGACTAGATGGCGTTGTGTGTGATAGTTGTGGAATATTATATATATTATATTATATATCTAATAATAATAACTTTAACATTCAAACCGACTAAGAAAGAAAAACGAAGTGCTGAGTACACTACAAGTGACACAATAACCAAGCTAAGCCATGTTCAACTTTTTGTAAGAACACACACATATGCATTTAAAAATCATTTGCAATCAACACGGTTTAAGTGCATACGAGCACTCGAGCACTCGTATGTGTGCATCCAGCAGTGAACTCTTTCGGGATATAAAGAAAGAAGAAAGATGAGTGCGTGTCGAGATTCCTGGTGGTGATAATATAAACCTTTCAAAATTTACCTTCTATGAGTTTAACTGGTATGGGACAGATATTTTATCATTCAAGTACAACAAATGAGGACCACATAGCTAAAATAACTCAGAGTTTGAAATCTAACTCCCAAGAAGTGGATCAGATAACACTTGATATGTTACTTATGACACTGCCACATACATTGAAAGTCATCACAGCTATTGTGAATAAATCTATTACCACCTCTACCTTCCACGATCAATGGAAAATAGCTGTGGTAAAGACTATCCTTAAGAAGAACACACGAACAAGTATGAAACGTGGTTTCAGAATTACTTGAAGATTGAAATGTACGCAGCGCTCTATATATCCTACTTTGTTGGTCTAAGCTACAACCTAGGTAAATTAGTGCCATCAATTTAAGCTTTTTATTTTCATATTATTTTTATATATAAACATAACAGTTCTATTTAAAAATATTTGACTTAATATCTCTTGTGGATAAAGGTCTCCTTCAATTCTTTTTCCTATCTTCCCAGTAAATATAGACTATGCAATGTTTATTAAACTCCTTCCACAACCTTCCTTCATTTAAACGTAAGGTTTTCCCACTTTTTCTTTTTCCTGTAGGCGCTATCGATTCTTTTGGATTCATTTACACTATTTTGGACTTAATGCAAGGGTCATTGATTTAATATGTAATTGTGGATAATCAATAATAGTTCGTAGTGAAGAAACTATGTTGGAAAATTAAATCAAATTTCAAACAGTTTAAAATAAAGGTGCTATATGTGCCTTGGGGCTCAGTTTAGAGTAGGTTCGGCATATCGATGGACAAAATGTCATTTAAAAATGAATGTTCTAAATATAAGGTCAATAATTTAGTATTTATTATAACTATAACATCATTTATAGGGGTCTCCTTCAATTCTTTTTCCTATTTATCCGAGTAAATGTATCCCGTGCAATGTTTATTAAATTCCTTCCACAATTCTCATTTAATAACATAAGGTTTTCCCACTTTTTCTTTTTACTGTAGGCGCTATCGATTCTTTTGGATTCATTATCCACTATTTTGACTTAATCCAAGGGTCATTGATTTAATATGTAGCTGTCGATAATCAATAATAGTTCGTAGTGAAAAAAAATTTTGGAAAATGAAATCAAATTCCAAACAATTTAAAATAAAAGTGCTATGTTCATTCATTTAAAATCTCAAAATTTCAAGAACCTTTTCTCCTGTAAGGAGAATCTGTCATAATTGCTACACTAGATGGCATGATAGGCAGATGGGTGATCGCAACACAAGTCGTCTAACACCTTTGACCAACGAACAAGTTGCGGTACTTTACGAAATGATTGTAGAACCAAGTGGATAGCCAAGAAAATATAATCGGATGAACTTTTAAACAAGTATCAGAAATGTATGCGGAGAGATAAAGATCTCTAAAAAGCTTGGCGTGCTCAGCAGAGCAGAACACTATTTCATGCCGGCACACCACCTGCAACTTTACAAAGCGCAGGTTCGGCCGCACATGCAATACTGTTCCCATCTCTGGGCTGGGGCTCCCCAGTGCCAGCTTCGTCAGAGACCGAGCTTCCGATCGGCTTGACTCACTGGCACTGCGAAGAGATATTGCATCTCTTTGCGTATTTTATCGCATTAACCACGGGAGTGCTCTGAAGAATAGTGAGTAATCACTTGCCATCAGGTGAGCCGCATGCTCGTTCTCTTATAAAAAAGATTTTAATAAATCTTTAGCTACTATAAGTATTAAAACTCAAGCACAAATTTGAGAAATCGAAAGATTGTTTTTAATTTTAAATCTTTTAAAAGTCAGCCTATGGAACTTACTCTTTACCGATCATTCGGATGAATCTTTTTAAAAGTGCTTCTACGAGTAAAGCTAGTTTTGTTAAATGTGTAAGTCAAACGTATGTATAGATGGACGGTAGAATGGTTTATTTAGAAAAATGATAAATTAGTTTATACTTGATCTTTATGTTTTCGCGAATTAGGTTTCGCTAAAAATTTTCGTAATAGAATTTTAATTCACAATGATTCGTAATTTTAGGTAAGGAGGTAATCAAACTAATCATATTTATATCAATACATCAAATAGAGATAAAAATATTTTAAAATATATGCAGCGTTATTAAATATTATACAAAAATTGCTACTTAGATCGATGAACATTCCATAATCCCTTATAAGGGTATAAAATATTATAAGAATATCTATTCCTAGAAGTCTTACACAATGTTGTTGTTACTAGTGGGACTTCTTTTTAGATTACAATTTTCTTTTCTCTCTTTCACCGAAGTAGAGCCATGTGCTTAGTTTTTGGGAAGAACCGCACTCGCACATATTATCAACGTGATAGAGCAGCTTAGTGCTGTGTTTTGTTTGGTGTGAGTGGAGATTTTTTTTAATTAGAAACGAGGGATTCCATCTTAGTCCTCAGGTTGTTGATGAATGTGCATTTTAATTAAATTTTGATTTTCGAGTCGATGTCTATAGGTCACAGCCACCACTTATCGTCAGGTGACCTGTGTATCTGTGTCACCCCTATGCTTTAAGAGTAGGTACTTCCTGGCAAGACTAAAATTAAATAAGGCTTAGGCGCCTACAGTAAATTTAACAGTACGCGAGCACCGCTAATTTGATCCTCGGTACCAATAATATTGTTAATTGCAATTTATGTTGCTGATTTACTTTACTTTAGGTACTACTTTTACTCCTTTTACCATGTGCTCAACAGTGAAGTAAAACGTCGTGAGAAAACCCGCAGTTCTAAGAAATAAAATATATCGAACACATAAGACATCTATACGATATAGATAAATAAAATTGAAGTATCTTTTTTATCGCGTAAGAGTGACAAACGAGAACACAGTTTAACTGGTGGTAAGAGAATGCTATGCCCCATATACATTTACATCTATTCTCGATTAAGAATCAAAATACAGATGCATTGTCACTCCTGTGAACTAAAATGAAATGCCTCGTTTCCAGTAAAAAGGGAGGTTTGACACTCTTTATATAATTTAATAAATCAGTGACACAGTAACAAATACAAGCTACTAGAAGTTAATTTATTCGATAGGTAATAATTACAACAACACAAGTTATTTAACTCGGTGAGACTTCAATCACATCAACATAAATATTCGTCACTTTTATAATTTCATGTGGGCTCATTAACATAAAAATGTTTTAAGTAGATCACACTTGAAAAAATTATCAGTATAATCATCTCTTAAAATCATTGCTACGGTTTAGCAGACAATGAATTTAGATATTTATTTTGATTTTCAATGAGAGGCACTTCTAGCAGTATAAGTAAGAATGGTTTAATATAAAAAAAACGTCTACCTTATTTAAATTAAAAATATTATAAATAAAATATTCAATGAGAAGCATTTTTAGATGTCTAACTCTGATCCATATGAGATTTTGTAGGATCTCATCATATATATTAGTTAAATTTCCAAATCTTAATTAATGTTGCCTAACAGTCGTTGATATTAAAAATGAAAGATTTATGTTTAAACAAAACATTTTCTGTGGTCTACTATTAATAAATAATATTTACCTTCAAAAATGCTACGAACACACTATAGATAAAAAAATTAACGCATTTCCATTTAATTAACAAGCAGAAACGTCCGTTTCTAAACACAATAATTAAAAGTAATGTATTTACTTTTCCCGCCACAGGTGACAAATGAGTCGTGTGAGACAGTCGCGGCACTATTAATTGTTTTAAATGCTTCATTAACACATCAACAGCTGATAACAGAATAGCGGGCGCTACAATCAGTGCTGAAAAGGCTTTGAAATAGATAAGCAAAACGATTTTAGCCCATGGGCGGACACTTTGTTGACAAAAACATGAATTTCATATTTAGAACGCAGACAAATAAAAAGTAGAATAATTTGATGATATTTGCTTCAGTTTATCATTATTTATTGTTCCTCAGCTTATCAAATTATCTCTCTTAACGACAGACTGAATCCACTACTCCATATCACCCCATGAATGTCATAAGAGGAGGAAATAAAACGGGGCATGAACAGCAGTATTTTAATTCTTAATCGATGATAGAAAAGTAGATTAATCAAAACTTTTTACGTAAGATAGTTATGTGGACTCATAACTAAAATTTTAAAAGGAATTTTTGTAATCGATACGAGTATACTTACTATAGTTACTTACAAAATCTAAAGTAAAAGCTTTAGTAGTAGCAATCAGCTTAAGGATCATCACCTTTTTTAATGTCATACAAAGAATTTCAACTATATTACTATTAGCATGCACCCATACAACATAACTAAATTTTCCCACGCAGCCTATCCCGCATTCATATAATATCAAAGTAAAAACTCAAATAAAAAAACCGGCCAAGAGCGTGTCGGGCCACGCTCAGTGTAGGGTTCCGTAGTTTCCCGTCCGTCACAATAAGTGTTCCCACTTATGAGTTTAAAGGTGGGTATCCATTATGTTCGCGCTCCAGCAGCGCTCCGCGCTCCTGCAACTGCTCCCGGTACTGTTGTTTCCATCCAAGTTCAAAATGATTTTTCTAGAAAGTCCTTATAAAGTTCTACTTTTCAGATTTTTTTCATATTTTCTAAACTTATGGTTCAAAAGTTAGAGGGGGGGGGGACACATTGTTTTTTACTTTTGGAGCGATTATTTCCGAAATTATTGACATTATCAAAAAATGATTTTAGTAAACCCCTATTCATTTTTAAATACCTTTCCAACAATATATCACACGTTAGGGTTGAAATTAAAAAAAAATCACTTCCCACTTTACATATAGGGGGGGGCTACCCTAATAAAACATTTTTTTCCAATTTTTATTTTACCACTTTGTCGGCGTGATTAATACACATATTGGTACCAAATTTCAGCTTTCTAGTGCTAACGGTCACAGAGATTAAGCGAGGACGGACAGACGGACAGACGGACATGGCGAAACTATAAGGGTTCCTAGTTGACTACGGAACCCTAAAAAGGTTAAATTAGTACACACGAGTGTTCTAAAAACAATTGATCTATATTATATTAAAAGGCGTTCCTGTAGTTCTTTTTTAAGTAAAGCTCTCCGTTACTTTATCAACAGTCCACTGCTAAACATAGACCTCCCTCGTAGATTGCCTCACATGGCAATATTTGCCACAGTTGCCACGCTTGGCAAGTGGCTTGGCCACCGCAGTTTTTTATTTAACCTTTGGTTTGTCTTTGGTGCTCCACAGTCGCATTCTAAAGTATCGCTTATAAGTATATAATTGGTAGAGATGATGGTTCTTCTCTATAACATTGATTCGAATTCTATTTAGATTAACCCTCAAACAAGGTACTTATTTAGTTCAATTTTTTGATAATAAGTGCATAGCTGTGATCAAACTATATTTATATTTTTTGGATTAATACGAGTATGTTCCTTTGAGGCATTACCCGTCACTGTTAGAGATCTCAAAGGGATAGACCTCGGTATTCATCATCATTAACAGCCGGTCACAAATCCTCTGGTGAACATAGGCCCTCCCTAAAGAATGCCACATAACACGGTCCTGAATAACCTGCATCCATCGACTTACCAGGTCGTCATTCTACCTTTTCTCGTGGGAATCGCCCTTCACGTACGAGACGTTCACGTACGTTCACGGTACGAGACAGCCACTCGAGAACCTCTCTTCTTCATCGGCTGTCGGTCGTTAGAGGTATTTGGCCGGCCTATTGCCACTTCTACTTACTGATCCGTTAGGCTAAGTCGATTACTTTAGTCTATTATGAATATCTTCATATTCAAGCGCATTTTTCTTTCTTTTAAGAATGAATAAGATGTTTGTCATTTAAAGTAAACCCAGATAATGAGGTAAATGTATTTAAACTTAGCTGATTTAAATGATAAATCCACATACAAAACGTAATATGAAGACATAAGACACGCAAGTATAATTTTTACAGACTTAGATTTTTGTCCGTAATAATAATGGTCTTGAAGTCGTATTCCGGTCACGGAACGCAAGCACAGTTGCACTCAGTATTCCGCCACGCCCATAGTCAGGGCGGCATTCAGACATGATCAACGGCTTTCTGTGCTTTCCGAGGCATGGGGGTAAAACACCGCCAACTTTCTGACTGCAATTGAGATTTTTTTTTATCACTCTAAGCCAGCGCTTAATTACCATCCCACCTGATGTTAAGTGGTGATGTAGCCTAAGATGGTGCAGTGCACTGACTTAGCAAAAGCCTATTCCCTCTTGACTTATTTTATAGTATACCTCTTATCTTTTTTTATAGTATAGAGTGACAAGAGAGCACATAGTCCACCTGACGGTAAGTGGATGCTATAGTCCATAGACATCTTAACATCAAAATTTATCCTCAATTAAGAATCAAAACGCAGATACGTTGTCGAACCCCTGAGGACTAAGATGGAATGCCTTGTTTTTAGTGAAAAGGTTATCCGGTTCTCTGCACTCACCATACGAAAGACAGCAGTATGACAATTTCTTCAGCAAAATATCCCAACAACAAATGTTAGCCCGACTCGGGCTTCGAACTCGGGACCTTATGATCAATCGGGGAATAGGAATGAGAATCAATCGCGCTTACGACCACTAAACATATGTTTTAGTAGGTAGATGGAAAAAAGACCTTTCTCCATATTATCATACTATGCACGTCGTAAGAGGTGGAAGAGTAAAATCAAATTCAGTTTTTTCTTTATTTATTAAATAAATTAAAAAAACGGGAGCTCAAGCATTCTGATAACAAACAACTCAAACCATCTGCCAAGTACGCCAATTTCCATAATCGCATATCGTGACAAAACTCACGATACCATCAACACCATCTGCGTACTTGTCAGTCCAACAATGTGCGATTTAGTTTCTCGCACGAATTCTTTATTGAATTGTCTACCACGAGGACCTTTTCGAACCGTTACGACTTAGTGACCTTCAAGAAACGAGTTCACTCCTTTTTAAATGGCCTGCAATGCACTTGCAATTCCCAAGGTGCTGCAGTTGTTCATTGGCACACTTGCCATCGGTAGAGCCATATGCTCGTTTGCCCAATCTACTATAAAAATCATATCGATTTTCAATAATCTACGTAAAATAGTCATGACTCATAGAAAGGCATCAATGATAGGTGATTCCACCTGTGTTCCGTTTTCCGAATTTTGGCGTAGGTTATTAAAAAACAGAAAGTAGTTAGTTAAAAGGTAATTTTTCACGTGGTAGAGTCACGCTGCAGCTTTATCTTAGTCCTCACTCCTCAGTGGTGACAACGCATCTGCATTTTGATCCTTAATTGAAAATAAATGTAAATGTATGAGTATGAGCCACAGCATCCACTTACCAACAGGTGTACTATATGCTCGTTTGTCACCCTTATTCTATGAAAAAAGATCTCCGGGAAACGCTACAAACATAATTTGCACAAACTAGAGGATAAACGTATTTTCCAGAAAGGAATTCATATTTCAATTCAATCAATTCAGAATTCATAACAATAACCTATATGCTTAACCCGAAGGACATGTCGTAATTTTTTTTACCTCTGAGGACTAAGGTGGAACTTCCCACAGCATGTATTTATATCTACCAAGACGGACTCCCAGGCAAAAAACAAGTACTACGACCTAGTAAACGTTGTACATACGCTTTTATCATTACTTTACATTTGCGAAATGTGTTCTAGGGTTACTCAAGCGCTAAAGTAATTTTGTTTTCAGCCGATATAATTAGGTATCTTAATTTCGCCCACATAAAAGTGGCCTTAATTTTTTTTATCGTTGTCGTACAAGTTTACGCAGAATTACAATGTTGAAGTCCTTGTACCCCAGATGTAATTCAGCTGTTACTATACCGATTGATCCATTGAGATGGGACAATATGGAAGAATATGAAACTAAGAAAAATTTGTTCTTGGAACCACGTCGTCGAAATTAGAGTTAAGTAAAACTGAATTCATGAAAAAACTTATACTTACCTACTAAATTCGAGATCGAAACCGGTCATTTTCTTTTAGAGAATCTCTGTTTTACTGTTGGAGATGAGTGAATTAAACAATTATTGACCGTGCAGTGGCGGTTTAAGAATATCCACTACCCCATATCATCGACAGAGGGAAACCAAACCAGGTGATGGGTAACAGCGTCTCCCTAATAAAAACTAATAAATCAAAAATTGCGGGTGATAATCTGCCCACCAAGTGAGACAACTATAGCAAATCTGAAAAATTATGAGGCGATCTATGGGGGAGGCTCAGGCTCATGTTTAGCGATAGACCATTAAAATTATCAGTTATTTTTTAACTAATAATAATATATGAAAATTGATTCTTAAGGAGTAAACTCCAAACATGTCTGATGGAGTGAAAATCAAGAATCTTCTTCATCAGCTTACAAAAACTCACAGGAAAGAGGCCCGTTTGGACGATCGCCACGCTTGACAGGAGGTTTTGCCATCGCAACACCAGGCGAATCATAGCTCGGACACAGCTCCCCGTCGCCGGTTTAGATTTTATGTATGGCATTAATTTAGCTAAGCCCATCGATTAATGCGCTGAGATTACTTCACATTAGTGATTCCTATGCTGAGACCCACGGATTTTATTTTAATATAATAAGTGTGACAAACGAGCACACAGTCTACCTGATGGTAAGTGGATGCTGTGGCCGATAGACATCTCCATCTATCCTTGATTAAGAATCAAAATGCAGATGCGTTGTCATCCCTGAGGGCTAAGATGAAATACTCTCGTATCCAGTAAAAAGGGTGTCTGATTCTCTACACTCACCATACAAAAGACAGAAGTATAAATATTTTAACGTTCCTCGATTTCTTCCATTGCCGAGCCATTCGTCAGCCATAATATAGCTGCAGCATGACTCAACCACGTATACGACTCTAGCATGAATTAACGATCGCAGTAGGTACCAGACAGTAGCGGACCAGACGCTTTGGCGTTGTCGTGTTTAATACCTGATATATACATCTGATGTGACGAGGTATATTGTGGTGGTGTATGTGATAGCATCGTATCCCGGGACGCTTGAGACTTTAAGTGAGATTAAGAGGTTCTACGGACAGCTGTGTCTCATTCGACACTATTTCGATGATATCAGTGTGTGCAAGATTAGAATGAGTCCATAGCATCTTTAAAACGGCAACGCAAGAGACCTCAAGAAAGGATGGAATTACAGTGAAGCATCTGAAAGCCAGATAGAAAACCGGTACTTAAACGTCCTTCAAAAGCTCTTGAATTCCGTTCTCCATGATGGACACCAATCCGGAAACGTGGAGCAGATGTGCGGTGGTATTGTGCTTCAAGAACGCTCTATTGAAAAACTACAATCCGATTTCCCCTCTGAGCCTTGTGAGTTGGAATAGATGCAGGAAGTGATGGATTCAGGTAGCTCAGGTCCGTGCTTTGCGGTATTCCTTCTTATACTTTCATATATAGGAGACCATAGACTGACATGTGTCAGGCTATTTAACCTTAGTTGCTTTTAACAAAATCCACGGCACACTATGAGCTGATAAATTCTCTTAGGTGCCACAAAGGATATAGAGATAGATAGGATAGGGTGACAAACGAGCACACAGTCCACCTGATGGTAAGTAGTTACTGCGGCCCATAGACATCTACATCTATCCTCGATTACGAATCAAAATGCAGATGCGAAATCACCCGTGAGGACTAAGATGGAATGCCTCGTTTCCAGTAAAAAGCGTCTCCGGTCTCTTACTCACCATACGAAACATAGCAGCGTTAAGCTACTATTTCACGCTGGTATTCTGTGGTTCACCATGGGATGGAATGGGGTTACGCTGCTACCACATGATGATTTTATGGTAGGTAGGGTGGTATGGGTTGCACTCCCAGTTGAATTCAATATATACATACTATACGCATCAACGCATCGATTACACATTCACGCATCAATTCGGATAAGTAATAAACCAATAGCGATAACTTAACCTTTTCTCTAGTCCCATGTACATTTTAACTATAATGATTATAGATTTTTCTTTTATAGGAGTAGGGTGACAACCGAGCACACAGTTCACCTTATGATAATGGTTGCTGTGACCCATAGACATCTACATCTATCCTCAATTACGAATCAAAATGCAAATGCGTCGTCACCCGTGAGGAGTAAGATAGAATGCCGCCTTTCTAGTAAAAAGAGTCTCCGTTTCTCTACACTCACCATACGCAACACAGCAGCGTTAAGCTATTATTCTGTGAGAGCGTGGTCCTTCCCCGGTCGAGCCGACCCATTCGTGCTACAACTATACTACTAATATAGTTGCAGCATGGTTCTACCACGTATAAAATTGTTTTTTTATACATTATAAATTATATATTATAAAATTGATAATTAGTACTTACAAATTGAGCTAGTGAAAAAGTAAATAAATTATATTATTTTATAAACTATTTTTAAATATCGATCAAATCATGAAATTGCATTAGCTTTGTAGCAATGAATACTGTCTTAAAGTCACAAATAACCTTCATTTCAATATGTTAATTTAAATTCATGGTGTCACAGCAGCATTTGCTTGGAGCCAGCACAAATTTAGGAATAAGGAATATAAATAAACTGTTTGTTGTCTAATTGTTTATTTATATTTATTTACATTATTTTTTCAACAATAATGAAATAGTTAAGTCTAATGTACTATATATTAAATTATACGCGTAACATAAAATATACATATATTCTATTGATCAACAAAAGTTCTATTTCTATTTTTACAATTACATAGAAAAAATGAAAGTAAATCTATATGTACATAAAATGACTAGAAAATTACTAGCAAAGTTACACGGTATATTAAAATTATGTTTCAAAATAGCAAGAATGCTAAGCTTGCACACTTGGAAGAATTAGGCATATTATAGGGGACAATTTTTCTGTCAATTCTTCAAAATCTTTCTTTCAATTTGTATAACCAAATGGCATACTAATAAAATATTAATTTGTTCATTAGTATACCAGAGTTGAATATTCCGAATTTTTATTTGATTTCATTGGCATTATTACTTTGGCCTGTTCTAAAAATTTTCAATGTCACCCTTGTAACATCAAAGCTAATTAGGTCACGATGTCATCAACCTGAAGACAAGTGAGTAGCCTGTACCTCAATGCTAACATTTATCTAAAATTAAGATGACAAAAATTCATTACACATTCACTATCAAAAATAAAATATGTCGGTAATACACAAACGAGATTAGAAAGACCACGTGAAGGTTCTGTCCTGTACCTAATATCTAGATTATTTGTTTTAAACCTGTAAATAAAACGTAGTGATTATATAATATTTTCCTGTAAAGGTTACTCCTCATGTAAACAACGGTCACATTGACATAGATGGCATGCATTAAATTTATAAATATTCGGAGCTGAATACCATTAAAGCAAAAGAAATGACCTTTTGTTGAGGTAAGAAGTTTTGAGTTTAAATTATTATAATATTTTTTCATGTTACAATTCAGCGTTGTAAAAGAATAGTATGTTTGTCTGATGCAATTATGTATAAATATTTATTAATTACACAATTTAACTTTTAATTGCTTTTCTTTATTTACTTTTCCCTTTTCTTTCTTTCTCTTGAAAATAGCCGCCTGAAACCGGGACTAGTTTGACAGGAGCTTTAGATTGTTTCTTTTCTTTATCCTTTGCTGAAGCTGATTCTGACGATGAATCCATCACAATGCCTTGCAGACGGTGGGTGTTGGTTTGACTCAACCTGTGTAAAAAACGCATGTGAATAAGATTTTAAGAATGTAGACTGTTTTGCAGTAAGTATAAATATTTTTTATAAAACAGCTATTAATCACCAAAACAACCATCTATAGAACATATTACTGGGAATAGCTGAAATAAACTAATCTTGCTGTATTTACATCGGTTAACAGCCTTTTTAACTGCATACACAGCAGAACTAAGGTTCCTTGATAAGGCTTCACTACGCGGACTCGATTGTAGGCGAGAGTCACTAATACTCGTAATACCAAGTAATTTACTTATTCAAATACTTGATTGTTCAACTTAAGAGTAACGCAGGTTGCCTAACATTTGGTAAAGAAAATTTAAGGCATTTCGTTTTCACATTCAGGAGCAATTACTTACTTTACTTGTAATTAAAATCTTCCTTATTTTGTAAATACTACAGAGTACTAGAGTAAATTAGCAGCACAATGCTGCCGTGTTTCACACCAATTCATAATGTATGGCTCTATGACAACTCACCAGAAATACACGATGCTGCCATCGATTTAGTTTTCATTGTCGAGCTTTGGTTTGTTCCAATATTATACTGTTACCTACTTTTTCTATAAAACTAAGATGGAAAACTCCAAGGCATTCTATCTGAGCTCTTGGAGGTGAACACGCATCTGTACATCCGTAGACTTCTTTGTACTTGATAGCAGGTGTGCTACCATCAGGTTGACTATAAGTTCATTTGTCGTTTTAGTTTTATTGAAACAATTTCAACCTTCTACATTTGTAAATTACATTACATTTTCCATTTTAATAAAACACTTTTATACGTGGTAGAGCCACGCTGCAGAATAGTAGTTGCACGAATTGGTCGGCTCGACCGGGGAAGGAGCACGCTCTCGCAGAATACCAGCGTGAAATAGCAGCTTAATGCTGGCTGTGTTTCGTATGGTGAGTGTAGAGAACCGGAAACACTTTTTATTGGAATTGAGGCATTCTATCTTAGTCCTCGGGGGTGTCAATGCATTTGCATTTTGATTCTTAATTGAGGATAAATGTGGATGTCTATGGGCCACAGCATCCGATTACCATCAGGTGGGCCGTGTGCTCGTTTGTCACACAATGCTATAAAAAAAACTTATGTTGTTTTCATAAGTCATGTTTATTAATATAACTATATGGATTATGTTTAATTAAATTTTGTGCTTTAAGACAGGTTTTTCATTATTTATTTCAAAGGCACAGGTACAGTTCTTAGATTTTATTTTGGAATATAGTTACGCAAGTATCCTGTTCCCACATCGGTGACTCTATTAGAAAATTCCTGCGGTTATATTTTTCATCAGTTGCGAGATTAAAAAAACGGAATAATGTCACTGACAGGCACATTTTTGTCAAATATTATTCGCTAAAACAAACCAGTTCCATTGTGTCCAGCAGTGGGACGTATAATATAGGTGGTTTTCTATGATGTTTTTATACATACATAAGCTTACGACTGTAATCTTCTTTACTATGTTTTCTTTAGCGCTGAGAATGTGGTTAATCAGCGCTTAAAATTTGAATAAACAATTGCAATAGTGCTGCCGGGGACCGAACCCGGGTTGCTCGCGTAATGTGAATATTACAGCGAGCGCTTAGCCCCTGACCTACCAAGCCCTCATCTGATATTGAATATATATATAATACATTACAGCAATTACATTGGTTTAATGTAGTTGGTACAATGTATTGTTACGAGCTTGAGGTTCGTGACAATAAAAATTGCCGATAAAATTACCTAAATTAACACTTTAATTTACTTTACACAATTAAAGTTAAAACACTAATAATTTAAACACACTAATTCACTTAATTCCACTCCGAAGCTTCGCTTGTTTCGCCCAAATCAACACTACCCCATCGCATCTTACAGCGCCTATATATTTAAATTAGCAAAGAAATATCCAGAATGTTCAAGTAAACACGCGGAAGGTACCGAGCGTTCGAGTTTCGACTAGGCGCTGTCAGTTGAGTGATTTGTGATGTCATTTTCTCAATGCTCCCCTCGCTCTCGTTCCTGACACTAGATGGCGCTAGTTGACTTATTCATGCAACACTGCCCCCTCCTAAGACATGCTCGTCCCGAGCATTATCGGTCCCATAATAACGCGCCAAGCGATCCACATGGACGATCTTAGGAGTCCCTCTTGCGCCTTTCTGTATCCGGTAGGTCACATCGTTGATCCTGGTTACAATCCGGTACGGGCCGTCCCATTTAGCTTGAAGCTTAGGAGATTTCCCTTTGCTGCGGACTGGATTGTGCAACCACACAAGTGAACCTTCGTCGAACCCTTTGTTGTTCATTTTGCGGTCGTACCGGGTTTTCATTTTCTCAGACATTTGCTGGCCCGATTGTCTGACGTGCTCATAAATGTCATTCATTTTGTTCCGCAAGTCATTTGCATAATCGGTTATACTGCGTGGGGCATCAGGTGGTATCCCGGTGATCAGGTCCGCAGGCAGCCGTAATTCTCTTCCAAAGTTTGCGAAAGCTGGTGTCACTGCTGTACTTTCGTGAACAGAACTTCGATATGACAACAAAAACGGTTGTATGTGCTTGTCCCAATCTCGTTGCCGATTGTCTACAACTTTTGCTAGGTACCTCTCCAATGTCTGATTAAATCGTTCCACCATTCCATCAGATTGCGGGTGATAAGAAGTCGTTCTTGTTTTATGAGTACCCATAACTCGGCAAGTTTCCTGGAATATTTGAGACTCAAAATTCCTTCCTTGATCGCTGTGAATCTCTAAAGGTACTCCAAAACGACAGAAGACTTCATGAACTAGTTTATCTGCAACTGTTGAAGCTTCTTGATTTGGAATGGCGAAGACTTCTGGCCACTTAGTGAAGTAATCCATCACAACCATGAAATACTTGTTACCGCTTTCACTCTCCGGAAACGGCCCCGCCACGTCAATGGCTATTCTCTCCCATGGTGCACCCACATTGTACAACTTCAATGCACCTCTACTACGAGTCTGAGGTCCCTTTACAGCCGCACAACTTGTACATTTGCGACACCAGTCCTCGACATCGTTTCGACAGTGGACCCAGTAAAACCGTTCTCGGATCTTCAGTAGAGTTCGTTTAACTCCCAGATGGCCTCCTGAATAATCATTATGGTACAGCTGTAGAACATCCGGTACTTTATCTTTAGGGACAACCATTTGTAAATAACAGCTGTCTCCCCGAACATTTTCCCATTTACGGCACAGAACTCCATCCTGAAGCAGCAAGCTGTCCCACTGGGCCCAATAGCTTTTAGTGGTTGAACTCATTGCTGAGACGTCGCTCCACTTAGGCTTGGGAGCACTGGCCCTTATCCATTCCAGAATCGGCTTGATGTCCGGATCTTCCTGCTGTGCATGTTGTAAGCTGTTCTTCCATTCGTTGCTGAGGTGGTCCGTCCTGAGCATCCTCACGGATACCTCTTCCTTACTCTCTTGCCTAGTACAATGGTTGCAATCTTCAGGACAAGGTCTTCTTGACAATGCATCTGCGTTGCCGTGAGATTTTCCGCTGCGATGTTCGATCTCAAAGTCGTATTCCTGCAGTAGTTCAATCCACCTCGCAACTTGTCCTTCTGGATTTTTAAACTGCAATAGCCATTTTAGTGCAGCATGGTCAGTTCGTAAGTGAAACTTTCGTCCCAGAAGATATTTGCTAAAATGCTGCAACGACTTTACCACAGCGAGCAATTCGCGTCTTGTGACACAATAGTTCCTTTCCGGTTTTGACAACGACTTGCTAAAGTACGCTATTACGACCTCTTGGTCACCATTCCGTTGAGACAACACACCGCCGAGTCCTATATCACTTGCGTCTGTGTCAACTATAAATTCTTTGCTTGCATCAGGGTATCCCAAAATAGGTGTTTTGCACAGACGGTCCTTGAGCTCCTGGAATGCGATATTGCAACTTTCATCCCAGCAGAAATGTCGCTTCTCCTCGGTTAGCTTGTGCAGAGGTTTGGCTATATCTGCAAAGTTCTTCACGAATCGCCGGTAATAGGAGCACAAACCCAAAAATGCTCTAACCTGCGTCTTGTCTTTTGGAACCGGCCAATCCTTGACAGCGGCGATTTTCTCTGGATCTGTGCGGATACCTTCTTCCGATACTACAAACCCCAAAAAGTTAACTTGCCGTTGAAATAGTGAACATTTCTTCGGGCTCAACTTGAGGTTGGCACTCTGAATCTTCATGAGCACGCGTTCCAGGTTTTGAAGGTGTTCCTCAAACGTACGGCCCACGATGATGATGTCATCCAAGTAGACCAGACAGGCATCGCCAATTAGCCCGGTAAGTACAAGTTCCATCAGCCTTTCAAACGTTGCTGGAGCATTGCACAACCCAAACGGCATTACTTTGAATTGCCACAGACCCTTTCCCGTCGAGAACGCAGTTTTCTCCTTGTCCTTAGGGTCAATTTCAACTTGCCAGTAGCCACTTTTTAGATCCAGCGTGCTAAACCATTTTACTCCTGTAAGCATGTCCAGCGTGTCATCAATTCTTGGCAAGGGATAGCTGTCCTTCTTTGTAACGTCGTTCAGACGGCGGTAATCAACACAGAACCGCATGCTGCCATCCTTCTTTTTCACCAGCACCACTGGTGAACACCATGGACTAGAGGAAGGTTCAATAACACCATCCTTCACCATTCCTTCAATCATGGTTTCCACTTCCTTTTCACGTGCTACCGGCAATCTTCTTGGCCGCTGACGGATAGGCAATTCCTCTCCTGTGTTTATTTTGTGTTGAACTAGGCCAGTCTTTCCTATGTCAGCATCATTTGATGAGAATACATCGGCGTACTTGAGTAACAACTTCTTCGCCTTGACCAATTCGTTCGGGGACAGAACACTGCGACAGTCTTCCAAAAGTGTGGTCACTCTCGTTTCTGAATCCTTGCTGGGGGGTCCCACTCGATATATATTGGCACTGACGTAACCAATCCACTTCCTCACAAGTACCAACCAGTGTGC